CATTATAATGTTCCGCTTCGTTGGTCCGGGGAACAATCATAACTAGAGTGGGTTCATTATATCGCTTGCTAATTGAATACTTTTGTTTTCATCATTCCAAAACAAATAAATTTAACGAACAGAGAATCTTATTGAGACTACACTTCACGTCTGATATCATCTCAAGAGTACCGTGTACTTATAATTTAATATAACCTATTTTTATTTCCCACTTCAAAATAGAGGAAGTTATCAATTCGAGGTATATGTATGTAATTTCGTTGGAATGGCGTATTATTCATAAGTTGGTTTGCATCTAAACACTTGTGCGAAATTTTAGAGATGTATATATGTATGTATGTCTGTATGTTTGTCCACGGATGCCTCGCAAAGTAGGTGTCAGATTGCAATGATTATTACTTTGTTTGATTGCACGATAAACCAATTTTGATGAAACATATATTATAAATTTCATCAAAATCAGTTCAGTATTTTTGAAATATAACCTATTAAAACTTAAGCTACTTATACGAGGGTCAAACTGAAAGTTCTTAGAAAATCAAAAACTGATTACATTAGCCAGTTATTAGTTTTATTACATCTTTTCAAAATATTGTCCATTCACGTCAATACACCGCTGCATGCGATGGAACCACTGGGAAAAGCACTTTGCCCACTCGTCCTTAGGGGTCTCTTCAATGGCATCGCGATACGCAGCCACCGCTTCTTCAGCATTCATAAACCGCTTTCCTTTAAGTTTTTCTTTAATTTTTGGAAATAAATAAAAATCACAAGGCGCGAGGTCGGGGCTATACGGCGGGTGACCCAGTAATTCAACGTTTGATGTCGCCAAATAGTCGATCGTTCGCTTGGCGGTGTGCGACGAGGCGTTGTCGTGGTGAAGGAGGATCCTACTGCGAGGTCGTTTCTCTCGAACTTTTTCCAAGACAAGTGGCAAACAATTGGTAGTGTACCATTCTGCAGAAACTGTTTTTTGATCCTCTAACACAATTGTTGCAAAATGACCTATCCTTCCAAAGAACGAGGCCACCATTTTTTTTCCCGCACTTCGATCTCTCTTCACTTTAGTTGGCAACTCCTCGAAAGGAAACACCCACTGAGCAGATTGTCTTTTGGTTTTAGGATCATAACAGTAAATCCAGCTTTCGTCACCTGTTAGTATGTCGAACACAGCATTTGAGTCACCTCCGTTAAATCTTTCAATCATTTTACGACACCAATCCACACGATGGAGTTTTTGAGCCTCAGTCAAATTATGAGGTATCCACCGGGCACAAAGCTTCCTGACCGCTAAATGTTCGTGGAGGATTTTGTGCACTTGACTCATACCGATGCCTAAGCTTGTCCGAATCTGTTGATAGGTCACTCTTTTGTCAGTCTCTATCATACGCCGCACAACACAGATGTTATCTTCAATCGTCGCCGTAGAAGGCCGTCCCTCACGTAAATCATCAGTGAGATTAGTGCGACCACGTTTAAACTCATTAAACCAGTTGTAAACAGTCGCACGAGATGGGGCTTCATCGTGAAAGGCCAATCGTAGTCTATCATAACTTTCTTGTTGACTTAAATGACATCGAAAGTCATAAAAAATCATTGCACGAAAATTTTCTCGTGTTAAATTCATGATGACGTGACACAGACAATTTTCAATTTGCCGCCAAATCGTAAAACAAATGACAAATGAATGAAATATATACTCAGTAATATTGGCAAAGAGTTATATTTTCAAATTTTAGAATTATTTTTTTATTATATTGTTTATAAGTGGCCAGTTCTAAGAACTTTCAGTTTGACCCTCGTAAAAGGAGTTAAATATTAATCTACTCATAAAGGAGTTAACATTGATGACGTTCTTTTTACCAACTTCAAAAAAGAAGGCTCTTAGTTTATCTGGTCACTAACCGACATCAAAAAAGGGGTTCCCAATGTGACCTGTACGCTTATAACCGACCTTGAAATAAGGTAATCAATATAATATTCATGTCATTTCGTTGAAATATCTCGCAATATTCGTATATGTTAGTTTATATGATCTTCTAAACACGTGTGCTATTTTTTGTTGGGTTATAATTATGTGTGTCCGACCAACCTCATAAAAATTTTTGGTATATCCACTTTTTGTGTTTCGATTTTATTGAAGATAAAAATGTATGATATTATTTCCCTCTATTCATTTTTTGAAGTCTGTTTTTCTTTACACTTCCGATCAGATATGCGTGGGTATAATTACTATTATGGAAGTTAAAGTTTTCACCCATAAGTTTAGCGTTTGCATGTCAGAGGGCGTATATAAACATAAAACACTAGAATAAATAGAAAAAAAATTCTAAAAAAAAACGGTTAAATAATTCTAAAACTTTATTTGAATTCAGACGAAAATTTGATAGCCATGTTTTTGACGGTACGACTTTAAATTATTTTTTCTATATTATTTAACAGCTTTTATAAATTAAACAACATTTAAACGATTTCATCGCGTGTATTTAGTTTCTACTAGACCTTTCGGGTTTCGTGTTCACATAAGACTAAGTTGTTGATTGTCTTTTTAATTAAAAGTATAACTACTACCTTCAGAACAATACTATTGGACACATTCACAGTACATTTTTAATGTATCATGGCAACGTTTGCATTTAATAAATTAAATTATTTTCAAAATACATTTGACTTATTTATTAACATATATAGCTACCATAATCTACCACTAGTTCCAACTTTAGGAGTCTTGTCTTTAGGAGAAGAACTGTCGAAAAAAATTACTGAGTGAGATCCGATCTCGTCTAAATTATAAATTAAATCCCATTTACCAATATCCCGTAAAAAAATATGAGATAAATATAAAAAAAAGAAACAGTTTTATTTAGAACCGCCTTTATTTTGTAAATTGGTTAAAAACGGTGGATATTAACGACCAACGATACTTACGTGAAAAACAAAATGTTAATCAGAAATATGTACATACTAGCTTTCGCCAGTGGCTTCGCCCGCGTGGTTCCTAGGATAATGTTGAATAGGATAAAAAGTATCCTATTATCTAAGTTAGCCAATACACTATCTGTATACCAAATTTCAGTTACGCATCTTTCGCAAGGGTCGGTCACGGGATTGGTGACCAAAAAATTATTGTCTCGAGCTACTCCGTGCTTCGGAAGGCACGTTAAGCCGTTGGTCCCGGCTGAATTTGCAGTCGTTAATACCCTCCAATCCGCATTGGGCCAGCGTGGAGGGTCATGGCCCATCCTCCTTAACCATCCATAAGGAAGGCCTGAGCCCCTGCAGTGGGGACGTAAAGGGGCTGATGATGATGATACCAAATTTAATCAAAATACCGTTCAGTAGTTTTAGCGTTATTGACGGATAAACATCCAAATACTCAAACAAAGAAACTCAAATTTATAATATCAATAGCATTAATAATTTGTAAAACCCCTGCCGTCGTATCGTCAACCTCTTGCTGTAGTTCCATCGATTCGTCGGTTATTACGAGTACATACAACCCTTCTGATAACCATATCCACCATCAGTACACATCAGAGGTTCACAGTGACTAACATTTAGAATTCATTGGAAGACGACGTTGAAAGTTATCTGATCGTGCGCTGAAGGGGCTAGACGAGACAAGGGTGACCACCTATTATGATAAACCTCAGAAGAAAATGGGCGAAATACCACATATATTTATATTGACGAGCCTCCGCTCGTGCAGCTAACGTTCCATATTCGTGGTTTTGCGGTTCAACATTTGGTTCTGTTTGTATATTACTATTGTATTATATAGTGATGGTTCTTAATAGTTGTGCTATTTGTTTATTCTTGAGTTTAATTAAGGAGTGTAAAATATTAATATTTTCAAATAAAAATAACACAGGAACAACATGAGTGAGTAAAAACACCATAAATTTGCAAATTAATTTAATTCTACACGAACGTTTGCAGTTTTTGCAATAAAGATCAAATTAACAAGATTAAACGGCTGCCATATTGTTTTAACCTACCTTTATGTTACTGCTGTATTATTCTCCTTTAAAGCCAAGTTAAGTTGACTGCCTTAATAGGGTACATTACTTTTTATGTCGCCGTATCCCCTAATAAGTTTGTTTAAAAAAGAAGTTAACTTGATTAAAAAAGGCTTTGTCCGTGTAACAGATTTATTTTAAATATACCCGGCAGTAGGGATCTGCAAAGATTTCCTGTTCAGAAAACGAGTTTTCAGTTAATTTCCGTGTTATTTAGTTCAGTTTGCACATAAATATTTCTTGTTCTGTTCTAGTGGAATGGGTCTTCCGTGGAGTAGGGTCAAAGTTAACAAAGCGTGTGTCAAGATGTCTGACAAGATCAAGTCCCATAAAACAGTTGCATTTTCCTTTAATTTTCATATTGTGATATCTTATTATCAAGCGTCTAATGTGTTTACAAACGTCTTTTGTTTCCCCGCACCTCAAATACACTTTTTTAAATACGCTCGCGGGTTTTGTTGATTCTAATATCACGCTCGCTAATTTCGATAATAATTTCGATCGTATGTTTTGATCTCGTTCAATATCTACATATTTTCATTTTACCTATTATACCATTATACCTATTTGTTTCGTATTTCATTCGGCATTGTATCCGCAATAATGGAGCATGCCTCTGTTAATATTTACACCGACTCTATATTTCAGGTTAACCTACATACTTATCTCTTCATTACGTATCATATAATAAAATATTCAACAAAATACAGGATGGTACATACACACAAACATTATATTTAAATATTGTTTGTCTTACTCAGGTGTCCCTTGAGTTAATAAAGCATAATTTCGAGACTTGTCATAGAATAAGGAATACAATCTACAGCTATTATAGCCAAGTGTACATTAGATATTACCCTGGCGGGAAATCGGGGAGATTCCTTTCTTCAATTAAGCTCAGTTGGGCTGTATGATACTGCTTAAATTCCAAAATTAGAAAGCTACTTAAATAAAATAAGACTATAGTTATCTTGTAGAAAAATGCTTAAAAAACCTGGTCAGGTACCAGGTTTGGTGAATTTACTGTTGAATTTTAATACTGGTGAATTTTATAAGCGTTATTCTAGCATTTTGAATGCATAATATAATGTGGAAGCTTATTTTTGAAATTTCTCGCCCGAAACAATACGTCTTTAATAGTTCACGACTATAAAACAAGAATTTTGTTTGTCCTCAGGTGATCAATATATTATTGGAGGCAGTAGTGGGGATATTTTGGTAGTGAGAAACGCCAAGCCTGATGATCCCAGTTCCTATTCTTGTGAAGCTCACCATTCACTAACTGGACAAAAAAAAAGAAGTCCACCTGTCATGCTGTCGGTCTCACGTTAGTATTTTATTCATGTGTAAATAAAAATAAAGTTCATTAAAAAAAATCAAATTAATTTATATAAGATGTATCTTATAGAAAAGGAATTCATGGGGTGGATAAGATAAACATACTGAAGAACTTTTACTATGGGAGCAACACGTTTCATACAAAAGTTTAATCGCCAATAGTGTGAAACAGCTGATTTTTTCTCTCGAATTCAGTCTTGTTTCAATTGTAAAAATTGTTCAATATGATTAACTCATCCACTCTACAAAATCATGATACATAATAATATTATTCCTTGTAGAAGACCCGGTTTTGACCTTTGACATCTTTATGGATATTTGGAACTTCAAAGTGTACTAACTAATGCATAAGCAAATATATAACTTTAATGTGAATGGTTTTTAAAAGTTGCATTATAGCTAAACTAACAGTGTTAACAGCTATTATGTGTTAAATTTAGCTTCCAATTTACTTTTAAAATGGCCAAAACTAGGTTATAATTAAAAAATGGCCACAATCAGGCCGCCTGCCCTAGATGAATAACCTACAACTTTTTACGATAAAGTATTAAGACGCGTTATACATGCATATATTACTTACACTTGGAAAACAAATGAGCGAATCAGAGCATGTTCGTATGCGTGACATTACTAAATACTAATACTAGTAAAACCATAAATAAATCAGGTATATTGAACGACCTAGTGGTATGTTAGTCTGTAATGCCTTACTAATTTTATAGGTGTTGTTTATTTCTTAATTTTGTCAGATTCTGTTGTAAGTATGGCACCGAGGATGTTGGCCATATCAGAAGATGAAGTCGTACCACAGGGAGGTGACGTGCGACTCGTCTGTTGCGCCATCGGCAGTCCATCGCCTACTTACAGGTTAAAGCTTCTGTAAACAATAATTGTCTTCATTTTAAATTGGTTTATTATATGTAAAATATAACATTATATTATATTGAAATATTTAACCTTCAAACTACTGAATGTTTTGATGGTCTTTTATACTGCTAAAAGACCATCAAAGAGGAAACAATTAATTAAAACAATTTTTGCTGAGCATAAGAAAGTTTTGTTGATAGTGCCTGCATTAAACAAATACACATGAAACCTATAACCAAAAAAACGGAAGAAATGAGATCAAACAATCAAATATTGTTTACATAAAGGCAAATTTAAGGTTAGGCATGCGTTGAAAAATAATAACGCTTCATATTTTCCACAGTTGGTTCCGCCACAACAACGGTCGCTTGAGCCCTGTATCACACAATATCAGGATCTCTGTATCGGAGCAAGTGCTGATCATCAGGCGCGCGCAGGTGTCGGACGGCGGCGTGTGGACGTGCCGCGCCCACAACCAATACGGAGAGCAACGGAGGGACGCCAGGCTGAGGGTGCGCTCGAGGCTGGTAGTTACTGTGCATCCACAACTGCAAGTAAGGGGACTTGGCTTTTCATTTGTATTGATTTAAAAATTAGATGTTTTTTGTGCCTAATCATTGTGGCCATTGTCAGCGTCATTCGCACTAAGAATGTGGGAATGTACTATACCAGTAGTAGCGTTATTAGCTTAACTAGAGAATAAGAATGTTTTCTTATTTTCTTTTAAAAATAATGCTTGTAATAAGTTATTTGGACTGCTCGGTAAAAAAAAGACGACTGAAACTGAAAGACCAGGAATGACTGAGACTGAAAGACCAGGAATGTTCTTTACCAGTTTCTGATCAGTATCAAACACATGCATAAATTTATAAAATTAAAAAAAACTTCATTCAAATAGTCGAATACGATAACATCATTCGAAGTCTATAGATCAAAATGTAAATAAGAATCTAGTATTAAAATTCTGAGAGAGGATCAACATATTGGCAGCACGTACAACCTTGGCTCATTGGCGCCCCGTTGAATTCCAGACACAGTCCCCGAGGGTGCGACGTCGTCAGAAAAATTGAAATAATATGTATTCAAACCGCAGCCTTTCAAAAACGTACTGTGTGAACTTTGAATCCGCTATCTTTGAAATATAGATGCACAAAACTAACCTCGGATCTTTTGGTGATTTTCATCAGATAGTAACACCTGTTTTCAATACCAATTCATTAATTAATTTTTAATATATATTTTTACCGATAGTCTACTTATCCAATCCTTCTATCTTCTAATAATAATTAAATAGTGAAAATTCTTTTATGCATTAGAAAATTTTTAAATTATTTGTTTATTTTTATTTCCTTTGAGGTGTTCATTCGTTATAATAATATGCTAACAATGAACCTGAATGATAAAAATATACTGACTTACTTCAATTTTATTTAGGAAATCAACTGAACGTTGACCGATTCAATTCTAAACAGAAAACCAAACGAGCCGTGAAGTTTCCTAACGGAGCAAATGTTCCGTAATGAGTTTAGTGTCCACCGAGAAAAATAAAGTGAGGAAAGAGATGAGCGAATCCGCCAGAACGCTTGCATCGGCCGCCGGTGCGGATAGTAGGATTACTTTGCCCAGGACAGGCCCGTGACGTCACTGAATTATTCATGAGATCGAAGCATCGAATTGTCTTGGCGAAGAAAGACGGTCACTTCCACTTGACTTTTTATACTTCGGACAGTTGGGTAATTGAGTTAATACGTTTGTTGTGTATTAGTAAGTCTGAAATAGTGGGAATTTCTTTTTCTACATCTTCTGATACAGTACTTAATACCGCATTGATTATATTAGTGGCGGGCACCAGTCATAGTGCTAACTAACAAGTTGTATATTTGTATTCAACTAATGAAACCCTCAGAATATGCTCAGCATATCGAGTCAATTATATTTAGTGATATCTCGATATAATATTAACAGCGAGTGATAGAAGTAAAAAGAAAGACGTAATAGATGCATTCGAAATATGGTACTGGATATGTATACCCCTACTACAGCGCACAAATATATTTATACTCTTTGAACTTGCCATTAAAATCCGACTGTCGAGCTTACGTTTGCAATGCATACTTACTTATTCAGCCACATAATACGAAGAGGGGATGATAGCCTTAAAAAGGCTGGCCATTGTTTGCGACACCGAAATAAGGAGATTACGAGGCCGGGCTCGAACAACATGATCTGACCAGATGAAAGGAGCTACATCCTTAACAGAGTTCTACTAGGTGGTAAGAATCGATGGATTGTTACTTTGATGAGTTCTAATGACCTCGATCCTCAATAATGTGGGACCACATTTTTATGAAATTAATGACATAATTAATTGAGTGTTTTTTTCTTTAGATCTTTAAATCGGAATAGTGCCAAAACAAAAAATTTACATGTCGAAAATATTGAAAAATCACCTTGGAAACCTTCACAATCACAATGCTAATCTTCAAAATGATTTGTAATTTCTTTAGAATATAATTTAATAGAAGTTGTTAATGATGTTTTTTGTAATCATTTTTTCTAATTAACCCTATACTTGACTATTTTTTTTTCGAAGTTATTATTTTTTACTCTTAGAATTTGTTTCTAGGCATGTATAGAAGAGGATTTAGAATCCATATTTTAGTATTTATTAAACGTACCATATGCGGTACATTGCTAAGTTTATGGAAATCAACATTATCAAATTTACTGCTTACAGATGTTGTATTTTAAACAAATTTTAACTACGAGTAATTCCTTCGAGAATATATTAACATATTAGTATTGTATGAAGTTTTATTACGAGGTCCTTGCAAGATACAATATTAATTACTCAGGTCTTCGGAATCAAGAGTATTTATATCTGCACCAATATGGAAATAAGTATGAACAAGATTTTGAATTTTTTTTCTAATAGGTCATACTATACAATACTGATTAACTGTAGTTGATTTTGGACCTAAATCATTAACAATAGGTAAAATAATGATATTTGGCAAAAGCCATAGTAGTCACATATGAAAGATGTAATTGCGATTGGGCAAGCGGGGTGTCTATTCACCAGGGCTTGGAAACCGATTTATTTTTTGGACCGTTTCGACGTAAGTACATGCGGAACTTTACATTAAAGGTTAAGCTCCTTTGAACAGGTTATTAAACCGGTGCACTAGAAATACGGTCCTCTTCGTTAACCGGTTTAAAAATGACTCCAGACAGTAATCTCACAAGTTTCAGCGCGGTTTTTAAGTGCCTTTACTCATATCTATAACATCCGTACATAGGTATGATAAATGCCGTCACTAAAAAAATGATATAATTCGCATTAAAAGCGTAAGAACATTGCTTTTTACGAACCAAGCGAATTAACTGGTTTTTATTCCATCCGAATTTCACTCCGCATTTAGTTCCGATCCGGAACGGAACATTACAAGAGAACATGTTTCACCTAAATTAAAACGGTTTATTCTGAATCGGTTTCAAGTCCTGCTATTCACCCCTCCCAAAATAAATTCATGTTCATAAGTGGAACCATTTCGCAACCACCATCAACCATTACTTCACACGTGTTTCGTCACTCATAGAGATTTCTTAAGAGAGCTATAACTATACCCTTACAACCTATGGGATAAAGGATATATCAGCCAAATATTATAATTTTACAGTTACTGGAATAATTTTTCTCATAACAGCGCCTAATTTTATTTAAAATAACAATTAATTGTATCCTTCCAAATTCACGTTATATACCAGTTTCTTCAGTCTGTATTTGCACTTTCTGGCTCAAAACCCTATTAATGGTGTTTCTGACACTCTTTAAATGTCAGTATACTTTTATCATTCAATGTCAGTAGTGTGCCTGCTATCCCTACTAAAAGCGCTTCCAAGATATATGTTGTTGGGCACTTGTACGCAGACAGTTACTATAAAAGGAGGACCGAGCCTGAAATTCAGGCTTATTCCGGCACAGTACTACTCAATTTTAAAATTAAATTAAATTATTTTTTTTGAATGAATGTAACTTTTATTATAAAATGACATTAATTTTGATACTACGTGCTTGTGGGAAAAATGCCAAAGTTATCCAGATGTGTTTTATTGCTGCTACGTTAATTATTTCTTCTATAAAAATATTAAAAAAAAATATTATTATAACTTATCAGTTATAATAATATTTTTTTCATCAATAAAAAATCAATAAAAAATATGATTTTGAGACATTATAAAAACACATAAGCTGAACACAAACGAGACAATGTGTCATTTTTGAGACATAATAAAGAATATTTATAATATTGACTACCTGGCTGTATATCATATTATATTCATTAAAAAATAATGTTTGGTTTCATAACTTTGCTGTGCATTTATCAGCTCAAAACTAGGACTCACTTAGCAAATATTTTGGCCGTTTTTGTCATTAATTTGATCACTATATTGTATTGTTTAATTTTTATTAATTTGCGTTGTGTAGGTGCAGGTGAACATTTCAAGCATTACAGCAGGTGAAAATGCTAACTACTAATGATTCAGTAGTTCCATAACCGAAATAATATATTTTATATAATTTGAATAATGATTTCTACGACATGGAAAAATAAATAAACGTGGAAAGTACTTTTTCAGGTCATGAAAGAATTTGAAAATAAACGTATCAAATAATACCCAATGCCAAGAATAGGGTAAAGGATTAAATCAAGTACATTTTTGGTCACAAGTGATACATTTCTAAAACTTAAAAATTCTCTAAACAGGTTGCGAATTCTGGAAGTTCAGTAACTTTCAACTGCTCGGTGGAAGGTGGCGACGCGAGAATCAGGTGGTTACATGATGGTGTACCCGTAGGCGGTGGTGAGAAGATTTTGCGGGTGCACGGCATCGTGAGAGCTCATCGTGGCATGTACCAGTGCTTTGCGGAGAGGGATTTAGACAGTGCTCAAGCGGCTGCTGAGTTGCGATTGGGAGGTAAGGGTACTAACAAATATATATTGGCTTAGTTTATGAAATATTTAACCATGACCCTACTACCTACAATTTCTACCCGCAATTTCCTTGATCATTATTTTATGCTACCATACATATGTATTGAAAACAAGCATAATAAACAGAACATTTTTTTTTAGATACCGCAATTCCTTCATTTTACTTATGTTAAGTATTTTCTATGAAACCTGAAAATCTAATGATAATATTTTTTAAATCCTATGAATCCATTCATATTTGAGCTAATGCAATACCGAAACCTTGGAGAAGTTAACCTACGGAATATAATAAAACCTAGCCCAACAATATCAAATACATTTCCTTATTCTCAGAGATCTCTTTTCTCTGCTCTTGCTCAACAATCAGTCATAAAAACAAAATGGTTCTAAAATAACATATCTTGCTCTTGGACACTAGTATTTTTTAATTAATTTTGGGTCCAATAAATGTATTGTCTCGAGTTACGGGTTCTCGGGCTGCATTTGTAGTCGTTAGTACCCTCCAATTAGCATTCTCAAACATCATCCTGGTAAGATGGTAAACATCCACTTATTTTTTCTTATGGCCTAAGCCACTGCAGTGGGGTCGTAAAAGGGCGGATGATGAGGGTAGGAACTAGTACACTGTTTTATTGTTATTCTTTTACATACCTGTTGGAGGTGTTTACGAATTCGCTTATTTTATATTTTACCGCTTGATGCGTTATGTACTCATTCAACAGATCTGATTTGATTCCATCCATGGGGAAGGTCTGTGTTCCAGCAGTGGGGATATTGCTGATCACGATCACGATCACGATATGAAAATAGCAAACTGATCAATACTGATAAATGAAAATAAAGAGAGATAAAACAACGTAGCAGAGATATTACTCGTATATCCTACTAGTTCAATTAAAATAAGCAGAATTATTTACAGGGCAGATAAGTCGATTAGAGACCCGTTTCTGCAAGCGGATTGTAGATAATTGAAGGGTCCCCGAAACAGGTACAATGGAGTAGAGAAAGCATTATATAGATTGTAAAAATTGATCGTTCACATTTCTTACCTACTATTTTCATTGTTACCAATGTTCTCAATTATTCCATTTCCACAGCGATTCGTACATGAACCTTACAGAGTAAAAAAAGCTATTTTGCAGGACACACAAACACCTTTTGTTAAACTAATTGAAAAGGAGCGATGGCCACCATTTTTCTTGGTGAACATCGCCAGCCCAATGTCAAACTTAGGTTGATCACTTTAAGGTACTTATTCTGTCTTGCGTTTCCATCGTGGCCAGATTTTTTCGTCCATTAAGTGCCCTCATTGCTTGCAAACGATCTTGTAGCCAGCGGGCCGTCAAAAGTAATCCCCTAAGTTGCCGCTACATCGTTTGCAGAAAAACTGGTGGAGTAATAGAAGGGGAGGCTCATTTGAATATTTAAGGTACACCTACCTAAGGTTTATTGCTTTCCGTCTTCACTGAATGCGACGAGGGTAAAAAAGGTGACGTATTTGAGAAATTGCGGCGGAGAAAATATTAATTTAATTGCGGACAAATGAATTGTGTTACATCGAGGGCGTTGGTTTTAATACACATATTATTTGAATAAACTGTTAAAAAAGTAATAATATATTACCTGCTTGTTTAGAGACTATTTAGATAGAAAACTAGCAAAGCGCAGCTTTAACGCGTAACTCTGTTTTTCATTTTTTCTTTTTTTTTTGCTTATTTGTCGACATGATGGCATCAAAAACATGACATGTAAGTACAAAAATGCACAAGACTCAAAATGCAATTCTTCTGCTGTAAAAAGATATGAAATCAAGGTAAACCAAGTCGATTAATTCATTAACTTTCCCATAGATTTAGGGCTATTTGTGCAAACTCCCTATGAGTTTATATGTACCATAAAATGGTAAAATAATGTACCATAAAATTTATCTAAAGTTATTGGCTCTGTGCTTTATTGAAATAAAAGAATTTAAGTGATTATTGGGTTTGTGCGTTTGTTATGTATACCTAAGCATATGGCAAGGAATAGCAGCTCTCACAGAAAGATAGATACTGAATTAATCGAATTAGTTTACGTTGATTTCATACATTTTTACGGTACGAGATTGCGTTACGAGACTTGTGCATTTTTGTACAGTTGTGTTTTTGACAGGATAATATAAACTGTTTTTATAAACTTACTTTGAATTGTATAGAAGCGACAATCTAATAATATTATTATATTGAGTTGTGGAAATTTTTAACTGCCATATCGGTTCTTCTTCTTCTTTTTAATTAATGGCGATGCCCTTATGGATTTCGCCAGAGTCCAGTGTTTCGCTCAGATTAATTCATATTTAGATATTTTATAAACTCTGCTTTTTGTAATACAGAAGTGAAATCTCAAGTTAAATTTAGAATTTTGTTGTATTTAAATTATAGACGAATGTTATTACTCTTAATATAATTACATAAGACGATTATAAAAGGAGAGTTAAGATATCTTAAGACGGATTTAAAATTTGTGGGTTTGGGAATAAATGAGGGAATGTCATCATACAAGGAAGAAGGGTATTTAGGGCAATTGAAAAAAATATGATCGACTGTTCCTACGTCCAGCCCGCATTCACAAATAGAGCTGTCTTTGATCCTAATTTTTGCTAAGAAAGCGGGAGTGTTTGCGTGCCCTAACCGTAGACGACATATGGTGCCATATCGGTTAGAAAGGTTCAATAAAAGATTATAAGCATGTCATACGTCAACAATGTCAAGTTGGCATAATTCTGAATTATAAATAACTAGTGGACGCCCGCGACTTCGTCCGCGTGGAAGTCGGTATCCCGTGGGAGTGAGAAGTTTTCCCAGTAAAAAGTACCCTATGTGTTATTCTGATGTATAACCTATATTGCTGTAAAGTTTTATCCAAATCCGTCCAGTAGTTTTTTCGTGAAAGAGTAACAAACATCCATACATCCATACTTACAAACTTTCGCCTTTATAATATTAATAGGATAACTACTTTCAATAAGCACAAAAGGATCAATTCCACTCAGCCTTAACATTGTTATAGTCATATACGTCTTTTTTATTATTTATTATCTCATTTGAATTAGTGTGTATTGTTTTAAGGCGGATATTTTTATATAAAGTATTAAACTCTGTGACTTCACGGCTGGACTCGGCAGAATATCAGTGCAGCGGGTGCTGCCTGCTGCTTTTACTGAGCTGAGTCCAGTGTAGGCATCACATGCTACATCGTTTTTAAACCAAATTTTGATTTATATTCACCCTTATTTCGTGTTGTTGTGTATGTTTTGTGGTCTCGACAATAAATGTCTTTATTTCTTTCTTTCCATCTCCGCTATTCTCTTTTTAATTTCTTATATGTATAGAAAATTTCTTGAGGAAGGTTTATCGCCACTCGAAGTATAGTTTGGTCACTATACAATAATACATGAGGTACCTTCTAATATTTATTTAGACACCTAATACACTTAATAATCACAGAAACGCACTAATTCATAACACAATATAAACGGAAACCGTTGCTCAAAATCAACGAACCATTACAGAATCGGATTAAGTATCGTCGCAGACAGCTAAAGGCGGCTCCAACGTGCTCACAATTAAAAAGGAAGGCACTATCTCGAAAATAAATAACAAAAGTAAGTTGAAGGTAGAAAGCTCATTTAAATCTACAAAACTACCTACCTCCAGTTTATTGCCTCCGCTTCCGACAGAGGGATTAACAGCATTAACTTGCTCTTTGCTCTTTTATTTTTATGGTTTAATATACTTTTAGTTTGAAATTGTGAAAGTTGATGATAGAACAGCCTAGTAAGTATGAAGGTTTATTTCCTAGGAATATTTTAGTTTGAAAATAAGAAATTCACAAACCAAGATAATAGCAAAAATGGTTGACATTTGAACTGTTATAACTTTCAACATAGACATGGGATATAGTGATTTATTTCAGACGACTTATGGAATGTCAAAATGAAACTGTTTACGATTTTCTAGCCCATTTGAGACAGATCACTTGAATGGGCTGTGAGAGGTTAAGCGCTAAATTACTCAGGGGTATTAAGAAATCGATATTGAAAACGAGTATGCAGTTTATTTATATTTTGTCGGCCCATAAGTTTTTAACCAGCTCAAAGGACTATATGCGCATAACACTTTGTCCCTTAGAAGAAAATCATAAGTTTTTATTATCATTATATCATCAACAAATAATTTATATCACAAATTTGAAAAGATTAAAAGAATAGCTTAATAAAATAACATTAGGGAGGGTTCTTCTTGACTTAACAAAAGATCATACAGAACTGTCACAAAATCCTCTAGCTGATCTAGATTGACATAACAGAGTACGAATTCAGTTTGCAGAGGACAGTGGCCCCGGGCATGCTGTCTCTCTGGATATTGATTAACGCCATCTGCAATAATCGGACAGGCCATGCGTCACGCGCTGCTGTGACACGATACACGGCCCAAACGATAAACGAAGGCGATTATTACTTTTATCATCATTTTCACTGCTGAGGCTCGAGCCTTCCCTATGAATGGATCGAATAAAATCAAATAGGGAGAATAGGCGCCGGATCACAACGCTGGGTAGGTGAATTTTGCATGAATATTATCGTCGGCTGAGCACACAAATCATTGCGCTATCGAGTTTCTTCCTTGTTATACTCTTATTTTTATAACCATGATAATTGCTCAACAAACTCTAAAAGGTATGAACTTTTTTTGGCCTTTCCAATCCAATAATGTCTATCTTATTTGTATAGTATATTTTAGTTATTCGCATATAACTATGTAGAGGAAACGTACGTTTGTCGTCGTTATCAAAATCTGAAATCACTTATCTACGATAAACCACCACATTCCTTACAAAACTTACCATACACCCTTATACACTATACGATAATAGCACTGACATAAACCGTTAATTTACATACACGTTTTGGAAAATTTTGATCCGAGACTGAAAATATTACTTTCTATGAAATTAAAGTGTGATGATGATGAAAGTAGATAACTATGTTAATTCTTGTCACTTGGGCAAGGAACATTGCGGAAGCACGTCCACTGTAATCAATTCAGAACAAGCCAAACGGGGGAAGTATACCTCTACACTAATTTGAAACATCCTCTTTCAACGACAACCAAACGAGGCTTGGAATGATCTGTGGTCCTATGAAATATTCTTTCATTACAATTTATAGCTATAGATTATTTTTAGCTATAGAATAAAAAGTATTGGGTTGGCACAAAAGTAATGAGACACACTAGAAAAATCTATAACATTTCCTTTTTAAAATCATTTTTTTCGATAATATTCTAGAATGTTGTAGAACATTCTAGGTACTTCTGGTGTAGGGTATATAAAGCCGCGCTCGCGATTTGTTTAGTCAGTTTGAAGAAAAATGGACGAGCGACAAGTTCGAACACTATACTTATACGAGTACTTGTTAGGCCACAGTGCGCGGGCTGCGGCTGACAATATCAACAATGCATTAGGCGCTGGAAGTACAAGCCATGTGACGGTGTCCCGATGGTTTGACCGTTTTAAATCAGGAGACAGGAGCCTTAAAAGTCAGCCACGCTCAGGGCGACCACCCGCAGTGAATGATGACGATTTGCGCCGCGAACTGCAGTTGCATCCGGATGCTACCACTCGTGAATTAGCGGAAGCACTTAAATGCAGTCACCACGCCGTGGAACACCATCTGCATGAGCTTGGTTATCGAAAAGTTTTGGCTCGGTGGGTACCGCACATCCTTACAGACGCCAGTCGTGCAGTCCGTGTCGCTATCTGTCAGTCACTTTTGCTGCGACCCCGACGTAAAGAGTTTTTGTCAGATCTGGTTACTGGAGATGAATCATGGATTTATTACGAGAACGATACACGTCGTGCATTTGGCTGCCTCGAGAAGAAACGCCACCAACTCAACCGAAGCCGAGTCAAAAGAACCGCTGAAAAATTCTGCTTTGCTGTTTCTGGGATGCGCAAGGCATACTGTTTTATGAGCTATTACACAATGAAACTATAAACGCTGACAAATATTCAACCCAGCTTACCAAATTATCTGCCGCTATCAAGAAAAAACGACGAAGACGAGTCAATGTAGTTTTACTACACGATAACGCTCGACCTCACGTCGCATCTGTGGTTCGCCGGCAGTTGGAGAACTTGGGCTGGGAGACGATACCCCACCCACCTTATTCCCCAGACCTCGCCCCATCAGACTATCATTTGTTTAGAGCCCTGAAACAGCATTTGCGGGGTAAACAATTTAATGATTTCTCTGACGTAGAGGCAGAGTTGAACAACTTTTTCGAGGCACAGCCATCAGAGTTCTGGGCAAAAGGCATCCAAACTTTGCCGGATCGTTGGCAAGAAGTCTTAGATACTAATGGTAATAACATCATTGACTAAACTTTTTTTATTGTAATAATAATAAAAAAGTAAAAACTTAAACCATGTGTCTCATTACTTTTGTGCCAACCCGATATAAAAAGTCATAAAAAGTAACAATACAAGATAAACCAAATAATATTACTCATACGGAATTAAAATAGGACTGTCTATCGCACCGGCTCGCACGCTCTATTTTCAAGGTGTCACCATCTCTGAGGTCCCGGGTGCGATTCCAGGTCATGTCAATGTATAAAATGAAGGGTGTGGGAGCTCATATACATGATAAATACCAGGTAAAAAATCTGTCTTTAGATTGGGACTGATATGGATAAGCTCAAAAAATAATAAAAACATATTTCAGGTCTGGGTGTTATGGTACCTTCGTTGTCTCAGATATTCCATAATACGAGGGCTTGAGCTACCGATCTTGAAATCGGAGCTATGTGCGTGATGTTGTGTAATATTTATTTATTAAATTAAGTTGTAATAAATAATTATTAGATATTGGTCTGAATAAATACTAAATAATAATAATAATAATAAATACTACTATACATTAGTCTGAATTTTTACAAATATTTTTTATGCTACATATGAGAACTATTCAATCAATTTATAATGTTGAGTTTTCTAAATGAAACCCTAACCATGACATTGTAAATTGATTGAATAGTTCTCTTATGTAGCATAAAAAAATTGTATGACAGCACAGTATTTCCCCAGCAACAAAATTCAATACGGCATTAACCTGTGACATTGTGTTCCTTTAAGATACATAATTATATACCAAAGTCAACCCAAAATTTATAAAAAAAAAAATGATATGCAGCTTTTGTCTTCATATTTGGCAACTATTTAGCAAAGAGTGCAGATTTAGAGGATCACAGTAACTGTTTTTATATCAATGAATGTTTTTGCGATAATAAGCAATACATTTTGTGGTTCGACTCACCAAACAGTTACCTGGATTACAGTTAATGACCTCCGATTGTAATCTCTGTCGAGAACGGGAATCCAAACGTGGTACACTAAATCTCCAGCTCAATGGATATTCGACGTTATGCCTCAATAATTTTGGTATTAATACCCTCGATGGGGTTTTAGGCAGACAGGATAGCTTATATGGATGTTCTAATTGAATAACCAGCACATTCGCATTGTACCTTTTTATAGGAATTCGACGAAATATATATAAAATGCTAACTCAGAATAGAAACGTTTTAAATGATATTTGATTGAGCTATATTTATGTGGCAAGAAACCAAGAATTTACGTGATATAACGCGATTATTTTGAGATTAGCGTTGACTAGTCCAAATTACGGTCAACTAATCTGAATTATGGAAACTGAATTGAAAAGAATATACATTTTTGTTATGATTTACTCTTAAAAGTATTAATTTTAACCACGATTAAAATAATTAAAAGCGGTGTTTAATTAAATAATCTAACAGGGATGAGTACGGAGCGTGTGCCATTAACGGCAGCAATTAGCCCCCAATTAGAAGCCTGGGCCTTCTCATGTAGATTCGGACAAAACGATGCATCGTTTACATAAGAGTTAACGCTGTTACGGGCAGTGAGCCAAATTCAGCTCGGATGGTACAATGCACGAGGTAAATGAAAACAAAATAATAGTTAGTTATTACAATCCTTCTTAATAAAAACTGATCGAATGTCATTTAAGTTAATATATTAATTGCTCAATTACAAATATTAAATGCTACATCAACATGCATGCTAACAATAATTCGAAAGAAGAGAAGCATACGTAGAAAACGGAAGAAGTATAACTTTTAACATCAGCACTACTCACGATTATTGTACAGCATAAGGGCTTGTCATTTATCAAGCAACTCATAAAGTGAGCTGGCACGAAGTCGGCGACCGATCCAGCACATGATGTGTCGTCGGAGAGCAATATATTCGTTGCTTAATAGCCGGACGGTTCGTACCGTGATAAACGATGGCCATACATCCTAGCTATGTTTAGGGTCACCATGGGAGATAGCGGCGCTATGGACAATGAATTTATACGTGCAAATTAGAATTTAGAATATTTAACAACTTCATAAAATATATTTAGTTTCAGAAACTATATTTACCATAGAATGGTGTCTGAGAATAAAATTATATAGTTTTCTTACAATTTGAACTGAAGACATTGATAATCATATCAGAAACTAGTGCGCATAACGTGCTCAAAGAATTAGTTACATTAGGAAAAAGTCCCTGGAAATATGACGAAGTGGATTCTCTAGCGGTTTTCCAGAGCTCTGAAAGCGAGTGCGTTGATTGGATTTTGTTTTGACGCGTCTGATTTATCGAAATACTTCCATTAGGGATTCGATTACCACGGAGATAGTATTTGTGCTTCGAATTATAAAAAGTAACGGGAAACGCGAAAAGTTTGCTTTATTAATAATTGCTATGGGCTAATAGAATCTAGTAAAAAAATAATAATTGAAACACAGAGCGCCAGTCCCAGTACCTCTGCGGAAACGGGAAGCGACGATATGGTAATTTACCAGTCTGTTTCACATTTCTCTAATTTCTTTTGTCATTTTCTATTTTACAAAGATTTAAACACGACGTTCGAAGTTTTACTGAATGATAGGTATTTCTTAATGCACCATAAACTACCCAATTTTTCTATTGTACACAACAGTATCTTGTGTATCATGTTAAGGTTGCCTAGAAGAAATTGCTTTTTAGTAATAAGGCCGCCAATCGTTCTATCTGTTACGTTTTTATGTTTAATTCATTTACTTATAGTGTTTACAATAAAGACAATCTATTAAAAGAAAGATATTCATTCATCCACTCAACGTTCAGTACTTTTTTGCCTCACATGTCTCTAGAAAATCTTTACAAAGAAAAAAATTGTAATTAAATAGTATTTCAATATAAAACAAAATTTAAGGATATCAATAATAATCCAGATAGACTTATTAATTTCTTACTATTTACTCAAAAAGGAAAAGTTTACAGCAAGTACGTTACTCTAAATTTTAAAAAATATTAAGATTTTTAACACCGATTACAATTTTTCTCTATATACGTTGACCAGAATTGTGACATTTTGCTAAAGTTATAAGTATGAAAGTTTTACATGCCTCTTTGTTTCTTTACTGTTATCATCCTCTTTAATAATATATTAACTCTTTTATTCAACTCAAGATTTCCGTAATGATATTATAATTCCACATTCCATGGCAAAAAATTTCACTGAGAAACTTGTTATTTGTATATATCTTCCTTATCTTTGGTTGCAGACACTGCTCCAGAGCTCCATTATACATTTATAGAGCAAGCGCTACATCCTGGACCAACGTTGGCTCTACACTGCGCCGCTTCTGGCTCTCCTGCTCCGAGATTCACCTGGCTATTAGATGGTCAAGCAGTAGAGGAACATAACACACCTCAAAGGTTATAACTTATTTCTGCTAAACATGGTTTAATTTATTCCTGTTTCGCTATATATTTTAAAGATCTAAAATATAAACACCCAATTTTTAAAATCATTAGTGAAATGCGTCTAGATGTTATTTTTCTGTTCTTTATTATGAATATTTATATTTTTTTGTATAATCGTCTTTGCGGGTTTTTAGTTCATTGTATATTCCATGTCCAAGACCTTAACTTGAGAACGTAATAGAATCAGGTTGTATTATGAGGATATATATTGCTATATCTGTGAAACTATGATATCTAGCAACTACTACACTCAGACTACTAATCCGATGTGACTTTCCAAAAAAAAACGACTTGTGGGGGATACTAGAAAAAACAGGGTTGTGAAAATTACTGTTTTAACTTTGCAGAACCGTGAGTCAGTTTATAAACTCTAACGGTGATGTAGTAAGCTACCTCAACATCACATCTGTGAAGCCGGAAGATGGTGGACGCTACACTTGCCGCGCACACAACTCCAGGGGGGCCGTAGAGCACTCGACGCGTCTCAATGTCTATGGTATTTTTTAAATTACATGTTGTATTATGTTTTTTATAGATAAATATTAAAGTTCGATATTAGGTCTTTAAAAAGATTTTCTAATGAACGTGGTATCAAAAAATCTACGAATAAAAAAATTTATATATAGCCAAATAAGTATAATTTATTGAGCTGTTGAAATGTCCCAGGTCCACCGTCCATCAGGAACGTGGGTCCGGTTCGTGTCGTCGCCGGAGTCAACACAACCATCTACTGTCCGTACGCTGGATTTCCAATCAGGTTGATGGAGGTGCATTTGCCTAGTAAAATTATAAGTTCCATTTTATTACTTTATTTAGCTTATAAATTTCTATCCGCAAAAATTATATATTATTATAATTAATCGTCATACATGTAACAAGAAATGACGTCATATTAATGATATATTAATAACTCAAGTGAAACTAATACACATAAAAAAGATAAGACGAAATCACATTCATTACTCAGGTCGTAGTAGTGGGCAAAGTAAAACCTAAACCCTAAACAATACCAAATATTTAAAAAATAAAACACTTACGACCAGCGGTCAAATTACTGCTTGGATCACTGCACTACGAATGTCATTGATAGTTATGAGACATTATCGAAAGGGACATTAGGAAAGTTACACTGCAGTAATGCCATATTTATATATAATTGATATTATATTCTAGTGAGATCCGTTGGCAGCGCGGAGGGGCTGACGTGAGGGGCGGCGCGGCGGGCGGCGAGCTGCAGCTGTGGCCCCCGGACGCGTCGGACGCGGGGCTGTATTCGTGCCGCGTCACCGCGCCCTCTGGACACTACGCGCAGAAGGACATACAGATCTTCGTCAGAAGTTAGCATTTCGCTCTAATTAATTTATTATATAGTTCTTCTATTATATTTAAAAGATACAAAGATGGTTGTATTAGCATAACAATATTAGTAAGTATGTAGAAGTCGTAACGAAACAAATCTACAATCTTTTAGCGATTATGATGACATATTCTAACTATAATTACTACAAACATAGTCTTGAATTTGCCGTTTTTCTAATTCTTGTGTAATAGGGATGGCGACTAGTTTTGATTGTTTATCCGTCAGGTAGATTGTTGAAAAATATATAACACGTATTTTTTTTTTCATAATCTTTAAATCAGGCGATACATTCGGTTAAAATGTCACATTACGTCATGCTTTTGTACTTTTACTATAAAACTGTGACGTATCGAGCCCCTACTCCTCAACTTTAATGCCTGTTGTCTAAGTTATTTCTCATTACATTGAAGTAAAAAAAATATGTATTATCAGACACTAAATAGAATTTCTTTTTTTTACTCAGGCGTCATCCCTTTTGTCATATTTTATAAAGAGTTTTATTTCAGATCCACCAAAAATAGCTGGCTTTTCCTTTCCGACTGACTTAGTCGAAGGCAGTTCTGTTCAAGTTCTCTGTGGGATCACTTCAGGAGACAAACCGGTTTACTTCTCTTGGTTGAAAGATGGACAGCATATTCCATCAAATTTACAGGTGCATCACTAAATCCATCCACAGAAATATTTACATTGGACTGTTTAAATGACTTATGAAGCGGCTATATTTCAGGTGCAAGAGAAATCATTAGATGAGTTTAGTTTCTTGATCTTCTCACACGTCACGTCAAAACATAGCGGCGAATATACTTGCGTGGCGAGCAACTCAGCAGCAGAAGTGAATCATACAGCGAGGTTGGCTGTGAAAGGTAGTTTTTCTAGAAATAATTTGTAAAAATAAGATCTTCCTAACATCTCTTATTATATTTTTTTTTCATCTAACAATGTTATAACATTTTAATGATTTTTTAGTCGCACCATCCTGGGTGTTTGAACCGCAAGATGTATCTGCATTATTGGGCACGCAGATCTTAGCACATTGCTCAACTAAAGGGTATCCTGAACCAAGAATTATTTGGCTCAAAGGGCAAGGTAAGCTTAACATGCACTCCGAAACGTTCACATTGAATGGCATAGAAAAATCTGTTATAGTTTTGACCAGTATTTTCAATATTCAGGACAATTAATTGTTATTTGCCTCAATAACGCAATGCGAATGCTGATATAAATAAAACCAGAAGTATAGAAATATATATTGCGAAGCGCAGCATATAGTATGTTTTCCTACCAAAGCATGATTGTTTTTGTAATTGTTAGAACAAAAACAAAAATTAATAACTGAATAAAATTCGAGCATAAGCTCAAAAGTTTGCGTCATGGTCTGTACTGTTTTACATAGTGTTTTGGTTTTCTAAATAAATTGCATTGACTTAACTTTACGTACTAAATAATAAATTTGATTTTTAGGTTCTGTTGGGGATTTCCGACCAGTGTCCAATCTGGATCTTCAATTGTCCGTGCTCTCCAACGGTTCTCTGAGTATATCTCCAGCGGCCCATCACCACGAGGGCCAATATATGTGCCGAGCAGAGAACGGAATAGGCCGAGGCTTATCGAAACGCATCACTATTTCCGTTAATGGTATTGTTTTATATTTATCGATGCACTATAACAAACAATGTATATATGTCACAGTTAAACAAGTTTTTAGATAGATTACGTTTTTCCTAGTTAGAACTAATTTTAACTTAATGTTTTTGTTAAAACTAGAAGTCAAAACTAGAATTAAAAATTGATATATTTGATTTTCAGATACAATTAGTTGTCACTTCTAGCTTTAATTAAAACTCGCGCTAGACAAAACACCTTAGGTTAGAACTATGACAAAACAAAAAAACGACCCGAGGTTTTGTATTGATAAAATACTTCACAGTGACAACACCTCAGGTTATATAAAACTGTGAAATTATTCTACTCAATTGAATCCTTAATGTGTTTGACTTTTCCCAGACTTTATTGGCAGTGCAATATAATGATGCATACCATATGCTGTAAAACCGAATTGATATTTTAAAACAAAATACGTAACTGTATGTAAGTTATGAAGTTTTTATTCAAGTACATCATATTTCTTAAACTAATAGTTAGTGGAAGAAGTTCCCATATTTTACCAGTAACAGCTCATAATGAATAATGCCCTTCCAAACCCCATCATACACACAGCATTACCTTGTTGCGAGTTAGTCCGGATTTCGCTACATTCTGTGAAGCTATGAAGATATGACCACGATCTCTTTCGCACGTTCTTGTCGTACATGATCCACTTTTCATCACCAGTTATTAGCTTCTTCAAAAATGGTTTGGTTTCATTACGCTGTAATAAATAATCACAAATGGTACACGGTTTATTAGGTTTCTTTCAGCGAGCTCATGAGGTACTCAAATATCTAACTTTTTGGTGTACCCAGTTTTTTTTCAAATGAGCCAAAACTATGTGTAATCAATCCCCAGTTCTTCAGATACTTTATAACTACTAATTTTTGCTCCACCTTTTCAAAAATGCCATCCATTTCATCCTTAACAAGGTGACTGGAGGGACGTGCATCTTTGACATCAAAGTTTCTAGACTGAAAACGCTTGAACCAAATTTGTGCTACGCTCACTGAAACTGCGATAGGTTCATGAACGTCACAATTTTTTTCGCGACTTACGAGGCATTTTTACATTTTTTGTAATAAAATTTAAAAATATATTGAATTTCTTCATTAGATTCACTCATTTTGACAGTAAGAAAAACAAATGAAAATCACACATTTTGATAATTTGAATTCGGAGTTATCTTCTTCATAATATAAACTTTTTAATGTTACCAAAACCAGCCAGATACAAATGGTTTAGTCAGGAAGATTGTATTATCAGTTTATGTATACTATACCTACTTGAAAATACTTTTTTTACAACCTAATATTTATTGGTTTGCAACAGAACCAGCTCATTTCGAGTTTTCATCACGAAACATGACCGTGAAGAGGAGTGCGCAGGTGACGCTGCAGTGTGAGGCGCGCGGCGACCCCCCCATACACCTGCAGTGGACGCACAACAACGACGGGCTAGACCTCGCCACCTACAGGTCAGTTGCGAGGTGATCTACACATCTCGTTAATTTGTATTAAATCATCCTAGGATAACAATTCATTAATCTACCGCAATTATACACTATAAGACTAGTAACGTGGAAGTTATAAATAAATCTGGGACCGAGAACGGCTCGATTCGCGAAGGTCAATTTTTGGTCACATATCTCATGACCAACCTTTGAAATCAACCAAAATAAATTTGTTGATACCCTAAGAGCTGGAGTATCGTCATTTACTTGAATTCGTTCCAATTTCAATTAGGATCGGCGTCATATCTATTCTGCTTCTCGATCAGCCGTCATGTCAACTCGTTTCTTTTCTAAAAATTGTAGTGTATGATAAAAAGTTTCTGTTTTTTGTCACACTCAGCAGGGTTTCGGTGTCAGAGAAACGTTCAGACAGCGGAGTCAGTTCTCAGCTGACCATAGCGCATGCAGAACGCCACGACTCGGGCGTGTATCGGTGTCGGGCGGAGAACGCGTACGGCCGAGACGAATTACTCATCTATTTGGCCGTCCAAGGTGAGTCGTCTAAAAAATTCTCTCTAAATAATAAAATAATAGCCGACCGGTACTGCCTGCTTGTTATGCTATAACAAGTACAATTGTCATCGCGTGCAACATAAAACTGTCGTCGTTATCTATCAGATCGATCACCTTCGATCTGTTTTATCATTATTCATTCTGTTTCAAATAATTATTCAGTTATCCCGGCTGCAAAAAATTCAACAAATTAAAAATCATGAGAATCGGAACAGCTCTCTACTTATTAACACTCATATCTAATTCATCACAATCATTTTTAAAGTGTTCTAGTTTTCCCGTAATTTTTTAGTATAACTGTGTCGTTCAGAATTCCCGGAAGCGCCACGCGGCCTACAAGTGGGGCGGGTCGACACGCGCGGCGCGCTGGTGTGGTGGCGGCGCGGGTACGACGGCAACGCGCGCGTGCGCCGCTACCGGCTGCAGTACCGCGCGCTCGGGCCCCGCGCGCCGCTGCGCCCCGCCGACGACTGGACCACGGCCCCCGCCCGGGACGTGCCCGCCGACGCGGTCTTGCACAGGTCGCGACCCTCTCTTGTTCCGATATTGTATACTACGACGATGCTGATCTTCCCGGTTATCTGTCTATGGACGTCCCCGAATCTAATTTGCACAAGTTGCATGTGCAGATTTTTTAACTGACCGGAATCAGCTCGATTCAAATCAAATAATTTATTTGCATAATGATGGGTAATACCCATATGATGTTTTAAATACTGACACGCCTAAGAGTTTGAGATAAAAATCAACAATAAAATTCACAATAATAATAATAATAATAATAATAATAAAGCCTTTTATTTCCTTAATAGTATTTTTACAAATAGTTTGGCATTGTATTGTAAAGTGCATGCATATTACAATAATCAGAATCTTATATTTAGTTTCATTTAAAAACAAATTAAATTAAGGACCTCTCTAGAGTAAAGGCCTCCTCCAGGTTTCTCCACTTAGATCTGTCACCTGCTTTTTCAGTCCAATTCTTTCCTGCCACTTTTTGAATTTCATCAAGCCATCTCTCAGCCGGTCTACCTCGAGTCCTCTTACCATCAGGCCCCTGCCATAATGTTATCTTTCTTGCCCACCTGTCCTCTTTCATTCTAACAATATGGCCAGCCCACTTCCATTTTAATCGTTTACAATGTTCCAGAGCATCAATTACATTTGTTGATTTTCTTATGTCTGTATTTCTATTTTTATGTTTTAATTTTAAATTTAGAATGCTCCGTTCCATGGCTCTTTGGGTTGTTAGAATTTTTTCTCTCGTTTTTTTGTTGAAAATCCATGTTTGCGAAGCATAAGTGAGAGATGGCAAAATACAGGAGTCTAATACAATTTTCTTCATCTTGATTGAGATATTTGATTTCAAAATTTCTTTAAGACTCCAAAATTTATTCCAGGTTATGTTAACACGTCTCATTAACTCATCTTGGTGTCTTGATTTTGAAAATGATACTTGTTTACCTAAATATGTGTACTCAGATACGTATTCCAGTAGCGTGTTTTTAACCCTTATTGGTGTGTTTATGCTATTTGTCATAATTTTAGTTTTGGTTGTATTTAGTTCTAGACCAATTTCATTGCTTACAAAGTTAATTTCATTTATCATTGATTCTAACTCCGAGGCGGTATTTGCGAAGAGTACGAGGTCATCGGCAAATCTGAGATTATTTAGAAATTTACCGTTGATGTATATACCTTTGTTTTTCCACTTTAGCGTCTTCATTATATTTTGCAGAACGGTAATAAAAATTCTTGGTGAGAGAGGGTCGCCTTGGCGGACACCTCTACATATATCAATTTCGGTTCCTGTTCTGTCCAATATTACTCTGCTTTTGCTCTTCTTATATATGTCTTGTATGAGCTCAATAGTTTCTGTTGGTACTTCGCATTCATGTAAAGCTTTCCACATGCTGGAATGGGATATCGAGTCAAATGCTTTAGCATAATCAATGAAAACTAGGTAGAGCGGGCGTTTCATTTCTTCGTATTTCTCTATAATGAGTTCTAGCGAGTGTATATGGTCTATAGTTGAATATGTACTTCTAAACCCCGCTTGTTCTACTGGTTGGTGTTCTTCGGTGTATTTTTTAAGACGTTTCTCGAGGCAGGAAGCGAAAAGTTTATAGAGGCTTGGTTGTAGACTGATTGGTCGATAATTGCCTATGTCAGTAGGGTCTCCCTTTTTATAAAGCAATACTATATCTGATTTCGCCCATTCGGTAGGAATTTTTCTGTTGTCTAGAATTTTATTAAACAGCGTGGTTAGAGGTTCCACCAGTAGAGCTATTCCTGCTGAGATGGCTTCGTTTGAGATACCGTCTGGACCGTTGCTTTTTTCTTTCTTTAGCGACATTATTTTTTTGAAAATTTCTTGAGAAGTAAATCTAGGTAGTGTTCCATCATTTTTCTGAATATCTAGGGTCTCTATTTCAGATGGTGTTTTGCAAGTGTAGAGATCTTTGTAAAATTCGGTGGCAACTTTTATTATTTCTGACCTAGATAATGTATATTTGGTAGAGGTGGATTTCTTTCTCAAAGGAGGTATCCACTTTTTAGTTGTTGTTAATTCTTTTAGACCCTTTTTTACACTTCCTGAATTCTTCAGATGTTTTGTAATCGTTGTTAGTCTATGATTTTGGTATTCTTTTCTGATCGTTTTATAGATGTATTTAAATAAGAAACATTTTTCTTTTTTCTCTTCTAATGTTAATTGTTTTTTGTTTACTAGTTCGTTTCTTCTTTCTATGAGATTTTTTATTTCATCTGAAATTATGTAGTGTCTTTTTGTGTTTGTGCTATTATTACATACCGATTTTAAACTTTTATCCATTGATTGTTTGATTTTTCCGTAGTACGTCTCTACATCATCATTTTCTTGTAGATTAATGTTACAAATATTTGATTTTAATGCTTCAATGTATTTCTCTTTTATTTCTTCGGTTTGTAGAGAAAATTTGTTATTTTTATATGTAGATCTAGATTTCTTATTTCTGTTAAACATCAGAGTGCCTCTCAACAATCGGTGGTCGCTCGGGAACGATAAGTTGCTTATCACTTCAAAATTTGTAAATTTACTTTTTATGTTCGATAATAAATAATCTATCTGGCTTCTCTTTTTATTTGGGGAAAGCCATGTCCAGAGGTTCTTGCTTTTCTTTTTAAATAAGCTGTTTATAACAAACAGTTTATTTTCCCAACAAAATTGGAGTAGAGTTCTCCCTCTATTGTCTCTTTTTCCAAAGCATGAGGTTCCCATAATTCGGTCTTCTCCTTTAACTTTTTGACCAACTCTGGCATTAAAGTCTCCCATGACTATAACGTTTTTGCTGCAGTGTTTAAGAGTTTCTTGCAACTGATCATAGAACTCTTTTATTTCTAGGTCGGTTGTCTCAGAGGTCGGCGCATGAGCCTGGACAATAGATAGATTTGTATTCTCTATATTTAAGTGTAGTGTGCACATTCGTTCATTTATTGCAGTGAAGCTTTCTATGCTATTTTTTAGGTGTTTTTTTATGAGAAAACCAACCCCGTATTGGCCTTTAGTCTCTCCAAAATAGCAGAATATTTGGTCTACACCTTCTTCTATACTATAGCCTGTACGTCTGATTTCTGAAAGACCAATGATGTCGTATTTTATAGTTGATATGGCGTGCGTAAACTCTAGCAGTCTTTCATCTGATAGTAATGACCGAGCGTTGAATGTACATACGTGTAGAGGGTGGAGTGGAGGGTTTCGGTCTGTGACCCCCGCGGTGACCGGCCGTATTGGGGGATATAATATGTTTTTTCTTTCTGTATTTTTTGTGCTTTTTTTATTTGCGAGAGGAGGAGGCGCTGATTGCTATATTTCGTTTTGTTCTTGGTTGTCTTTCTGGTTTGATAGGTTGTTCTTATTCTTGTTAACTAAGTAGTTTAACATACTAGGCTTAAGAACTGCTTCTGAAATGCTGGATGACCTTTGTGGTAAAGAGTGGGTTTGTTTTGGTTTATTATTTCGTTTTTCTTGTGGTCTTCTATCCGTTTGCTTGTGAGAGTTTGATAGGTTTGACTCAGGGGAAACGGAGAGCATTCTCTTTTTGCTACCAGATGTTTCTGATTTGTTTTCGAGTATGATGAGTTTATCATATTTAACGATAGCTTTGTTTCCTTTTTCTTTTTCAATTTTAACTTTTTCCTGTAATTCTTTCCTTTTTTCTAAGACATATTTTGGGTAGTCCTCCTTTATGTAAAATTCTGTGTCTTTCAGTATTGCTTTTTGCTTGAATATTTCAATCTTCTTACCAAGTGTTGTGAAAGTTACTGTTATGGGTCTAATTCCTTTACCTTTTTTGCCTAATCTGGTCAATGCTTGTATGTCCCTTTTTTCCAGCTTTATGCAGAAGTGTTTGTCTATGAAATTAATAATAATATTTTCCAAGTCTGAATAAGACGATTCTGTTTCATGTAAGCCAAAGAATACTATGTTTCTCTGTCTAGCTAATTTTTCTAGAAAATATATTCTTTTTTCTTGGTTTTCAACTACTTCTTTCAGACAGTTATGTTTTTCTTCCCATACTTGGAATTTTTCTTCAAGAATCATATTTATATTTTTTGTTATATTTGTAGTGACATCTTCTCCGTTTTTAATGATCATTTTCTTCTGGTCGTCTAGTTCGTTCTGAATTTTACGAAGTGCAGACATTACTTCCTCCATATTTAAGTATTTAAAGTATTTAGTATTTATTTTAGTACAAGTGCTGGCCTCTATTGGTGGGTAGCCGAACTAAAGTTGAAGTGAATCAAGTAAGTAGCTCTAAGAATTTCTGCTACTCCTTGATAGATGGCGTTACTATGTAATAGGTAAATGATCGTAATGAATGACTTTTGATTTTTTGTTTGAGGTTAGATTTAGTGAAGATTGTCCAAATTTAACACTTTCTACTTTTATTTGCACTTTTATTTACACTTTCTTGTTGACTGATCTTCTTTTTATTTTTTCCAGCTTTTATCTTCGGTTGTTTCAATGGTATTCGAACGATTAAAAAATCCGTTGAAATTATTTTAATCAATGTTTTTGATATAATTATAGCACTTTCATTGTAAATAACGATAATCCTGGTGTTTTGTAACTCTCTTTACACGATAATCACTGTTTTTTATTAAATATTCCGATATATTCACTTTTATTGGTTTATAAATAGCGGAGTCGATGCAAACACTGGGACAGCAGCGCCCTCTCTCTATTCACAATACGACTCTTTATTTGATAAATAAAATTACAAACCCGCCGCTCCATCGCTGATCTAGCATCGATAATAGTTCGGTGGTATGTGTAGGCAGGAGTCTGATGCTTCGGGAGAATCCACTATGCGAGCGGAGTACAAAGTGGAGGGTCTGCGTCCGGCTACAGCATACGCGATGAGAGTGGCGGCCGTCAATGATGTAGGAGAAAGCGCATACTCTGACGCTGTTATTCTACAAACCATGGAGGAAGGTACAACCAGTTTTACTGTAGCCTTTTTAGTTCATACTATATTTTCCTACATCGCTGAACCGGGACACCTGACATTTTGATTGAACTTGAACTTTTGTTTATCCGTATAAAAGATTACGATTAAAGTAATATTCAACGTTTATTTTTAGCACCGTCAGAACCTCCTCATAATGTTGAAGTGCAGTCGACTGCACCTGGAGAACTTCTGGTTAAATGGCAGGTAAGTGCGCGAAATGTATACAAAAATATGTTTATCCATCTCAATTAAAAATAATTTCGAATAACATTTTAATTTTTTTTATTCAGTTAATCAACAAACTTAACCGATTTGTCGTTGATTGCAGGCTCCACCCCAGGAGTCTTGGAATGGAGAGCTGCTCGGCTACTTGGTGACTTGGAGAGAAGCTGGCTCCATGGACACCGAGAACACTACTCAAGCGATCACAATTGCGGGTTGGGGAGCCACACAGGTATCTTTTGTTTACTATCTGTAAATAATATGCACTGATAATACGAGTATAAACATTTACAACGTTGAAACGACAGTTGAACTAATATATTAAATCGTTTAAATTAAATACTGGCTTTCCGCCAGTGGTATCGCCCGCACGTCTTATATGATGACAAGACGTTAACTTTGTTCATAGGAAACTATCCGTATACCAAATTCATCAAAATTTGTTATTATCTTAATGAAAAATACTTAAAAAATCCACTCGGTCCGTGGCACCCTGAAATAGGATTTGCCCGGATGCGGAAGGTCAGGGGTTCTTACGTTCTTTACGTGACCAACATTCACGTAAAGAACGTGATCTCTATTTGTATACCACTCCTCGACTTTCGTTTGACTTCACTGACTGGAAGGTAGATGGCGCTATTGCCACGATAACAATCAGCTCCGTGTACTTTATTTACTTAAAAATACATTTAACTATTTTTTGGAGTGGTTAACATGAGACAAGTGCTAATAAGCGTTTAAATAGAACGTAATTTTGTTATCTACAACAAATACATTATTTAAGTGAATTGTGAACGTTTAAACTGTGAATGTAAAAAAAGTGAATTTACTCATAAAAGGATTGAACATCTTTAAGAGAGTGTGAGTTATTGAATATAAACTAATTAAAAAATATTATTATTGATGTGATCATGGAACAATTATAATATTTGAAATTTATTACAAAAATCTTAAAAGTGACAGTTTATTTTATTTAAAAATAAACACCAAGTACAGGCTGCTTTCAACTGTCATGCTACGGATATAGGGATAATTTTCATGTAAACAACTGCAATTTCAACGCCATCTATGACAGTACTGTACAAACTTTGCATATGATTGAAAAATTTTCACTGACGACTGCAGCACCCTTAAGTGCTTTATGTATGCTAACGACCTAATGGTTGTGCTTTGTGCTGATTCTGTAAAGCGCCATCTAACAATAGATTTGTATAAACACTGCATCTGATGACTTATACTGTTCATATATTCGTCGGCTTGCTTACAATACAGTTGGTCGAATGGATCATAGCTAACTGATCCACCACATAGATCGGTGTTCAAACCTTCTGAGCGTTGCAAGTTGTTTTCATTTAAAATTTTTATTTCTTCTTATTTGTTATTGAAAAATAAACATAACAATGGAAAATATAACTTTTAGAAGACCGTTAATGAGAGCAAAATCCGATCAAGATTTATCAACGCATAATTATGTAGCAAACTCAACAATGAACTCATCTATATTGGATGCTACTATGAAAAGTTTACCGATGTTAGATCCGGATTCATCACAAATATTTGAATTGAAACGAGAAATTGAAGACTTACAAAATGAACTAAATATAGCAAATAAAGAGATAGAAAACCTGAATTCTGAAAATACTAATTTAAAGAAAATTATAGAAGATAAAGATCGGCAGATATTTCTATTCACAAATCTAACAAAAAACCCTACTTTAGCAAATAAATCAAAAATAACAAATACTCCTCAATGTAGGAGTGTCCCAAAATTTCCAAAACATCTTGAGTTTGGACGTTTGACTCCTCTGAACCAGGCACTTCATACACCAAAGATAAAAACTAGTTCGCGATTTTTACCATTGAGCGAATGTCAACGTAGAGCGTATGATAAAATTGTGTCTCCCTCTGTAATAAGGCTACAAAGAATTGATTTAACGACAAAGGAAAAGCTTTTAATGGACGGAAACGACACATGTGAGGACTTCTTAGACGCATCGCAGCATTCGAGAGCAGCTGCATCAGAATTTCCTGGTTCGCAACTACACCATAAGCAGCGAATTTTGATAGTCGGTGATGAACAACTGCGATCGCTCTCTATACAACTGAAAAAGTCGACTTTAGCGGATGAGGATCGACAGCAATACGACATCTTGGGAATTATTAAACCACAGGCTACGTGTGCGCAGGTTTTGAATGGCTGTAGAAAGATGATAAGTTCGCTAAGTTTTAGAGACATTCTTATCTTGGGAGTGGGATCACATGATAGAAATCCATATAAGTTGCTAGCTAATCTTTGTTTTCTTAGCAGAATCTGTAAAGCTAAAATATTTATTGTGGGTGTTAGACATAATTCTTATTTGAATACAGTAATGTTAAATGAGCAAATCAAACAATTGGCCGTTAGCTGTGGTAATTGTCATTTTTTAAAAGTAAATCGATATATAGTGCATAAATATTATATTAAGGAACTAATTCATCAAATTTATGTTGAACTTGAGTTTATTAAGTGCCGTTGTTTGTTTGATACCTCAATGAAAACAAAATATGACGGATGCTATAGGGGTAATAATAATAGTGTGATTGGTGCTGTTTTGGGTTCGACACTCGATAATGAATTAAATTTCGAAAATTCAATAATTCCCACGTGTGAAACTGAGACTGATAGTAACACGAAAACTCTTGAAAACTACCCCGAAAATTTTTTTCGAGTTGAACAAACAAATACATAGTCTGACTCTATTTCATCAAAATATTGCCAGTGCTTTAAGCAAAAGAGACTTACTTTTAATAAGCCTACAAGATCTATCTGCTGAAATTGGTTCTGTAGATATAATATGTCTCACGGAGACATTCATTAAGCGCGGCTCAGAAGCAAATCTACAGTTGGCAAATTATAGACTAGTGTCATCCTACTGTAGAGAAAATCAGCGTAGGGGTGGATCTGCTATTTTTGTAAAAAATAGCATTAATTATTGTGAGCCATTAACCGACTTATTTAAGCCAATTCCCCTTCACTTTGAACTTTGCGCTGTAAGGTTAGTTTTATTTAATGTTATTGTTGTATGCATCTACAGGACCCCTGATTCCGATGTTAAAATATTTTTTGATTCTTTGTATAAAACACTATCCAAACTAAAAGTAAATAATAATAAAACGGTCATAATCTGTGGTGATTGGAATATAGATATGTTGAAAAATAATAAAACCTCACAGGAGCTTAATTCGATTTTATCAAATTTTAATCTAGTGAACCACATTTTGGTTCCAACACGGAGGCAATCTTGTATTGATTTAATATCAAGTAATTTACGAAATACAATAAGTAAAACCCACTATTTGGGACTGTCTGACCATGAAACGGCACAGACTATTACTTTTAATATTGTCAAAAAGCAACATCGAGAGAAACCACAAAGATGGTCTGAATATAAACGTGACTTTAGCTCTGAAAATATAGATAAATTCAAAAAATATATAGGTTCTCTTTCATTCTCTGATACACTGGAAGAGCATAATGTAGACAAGGCCTTCAACGAATTTCATGACATTATCACGCTCTTTTTCAATCTTTGTTTTCCGGTATATAAAGTAACAATAACTAAAAAACCCATTAAAAATAAATGGATAACAAAAGGTCTAAGAAAATGCTGTGTAAAAAAACGGATTTACTACCTCAAATATATCCAATCGGCAGCTAACAAGAAATTGAATCATAAGACATATTCAAAATACTCGCAAATATTAAAAAAGTGTATTCTAACCTCCCAAAAAATAAATAGCACTAATTACATAAATAAGTCAACAAATCGTTGCAAAGCTGCATGGAGAATAATCAATGATAATTTTAAAAATACAGACGTCTATTCTGAAATAAACGAAATAGAAAAGGATGGAAAAAAATATACCCATCCTCAAGAAATCTCTGACATTTTTAACGATTACTTTATAAATTTTAATAATAATAATAATATCACTAAGTCCCAACATCATTTGACACCACTATATAAAACAATATATCTATCTCCAGTAAGTCCTAAAGACGTATTTGATGTGATAAAATCTCTTAAACAATCCAATTCAACTGGATATGACAATATAAATACTACATTGTTAAAATTATGTGCTTTGAATTTTTGTACCCCATTAGCGCATATAATTAATACATCTTTTTTAGAGGGCACATTCCCTGATCGTCTCAAATATTCTGTAGTCAAGCCAATATTCAAAAAGGGAAACAAAAAGGATATGAATAATTATAGACCCATTACGTTGATTCCAATCCTTTCAAAAATCCTTGAAAAAATAATGCTCTCCAAACTGATTGACTTTCTTAATACCAATAAAGTACTAAAACCAGAACAATTTGGATTTAGGAAAAACAGCTCAACTGTTCACGCCTGTTTTGCACTTGTAAAAAACATTATGGAATGTTTAGATAAGAGAATGCCTATAATTGCATTATTTCTAGATATGACCAAAGCCTTTGATTGTGTTTCCCATGAAATTCTACTCCAGAAGTTGGAAAGTTATGGAATTAGAGGTAAAGCATCTGATTGGATAAGAAGTTACTTAAAAAATAGGTATCAATGCGTAGAAATAAATAAAATGATAGGCTCATCAAAAAGTACCTTTCGCTCTCAATATCTTCTTAACACATTCGGAGTTCCTCAGGGGAGTATCCTAGGACCCTTACTCTTTCTTCTTTATATTAATGATTTACCTGATGCAACGAAACATAAGTGTCTATTATTTGCAGATGACACCACAATTTTAATTAATGGCACTAACAAAACTACACTTGAGGAAGAGGCAAATAATGCTCTTCGAGATATAATTAGTTGGCTTGAAAGAAATAATCTTAAAATCAATTTAAACAAAACTAATTTCGTCGAGTTTCGAACCTATAATAGTAAACCAAACAATATTAATTTACAATATGAAAATAAGGCTGTTGTTAGAGTAGAAGAAACTGTATTTCTGGGCATAACATTTGATAATTATAATAATTGGAAATCGCATGTAAATAAATTGTGCTCAAAACTAGATAGATTCGCATACGTGTTATATCGTCTCAGACAAACAACAACAATGCAGGCGACATTAACAGCATATCATGGATACGTCTCCTCATGCCTAAGATATGGTATTGTCCTGTGGGGATTCTCGGTGGATGCAGAGAGAGCCTTTCTCGTGCAAAAAAAGTGCATTAGATCTATGTGTGGTGCGGGGTATCGTGATAGCTGTGTGCCTTTATTTAAAAGATTGAAAATACTACCGCTACCTTGTTTGTATATCTATGAAATTTGCATTTTTATACAGAAAAATCCAGATTTGTTTAAAAAAAATTGTGACGTCATAAAAAGGACTTGCCGAAATAAATTTAGATTATATGTCCCATCTCAACGATTGCAAGTTAACAGTAAAAGTATCAACTGCATGGCCGTTCGTATCTATAATAAATTACCAGATGTATTGAAAATTGAGACTCTCCGCTCATTTAAAACTAATTTGTTTCTTTTTTTACTTGACAAATGTTACTACTCGGTAAAAGATTATCTAAATGACATAACATTATAATATTTTATTGAAAATTAATTCATATGTATAATTGTATTTTTTTTCACTTGCTTTAATTTTACATTTTTATATTTAATGATTGACATTTATAATGAATCTATGACATAATTTAATATAATCTGACATTTTTATGTAATATTTGTACGCCAACTAGGCAGATTTTTGTTGGGACTTAATTTGGCTATAACACCTTTGCATATGTTTTGTATACCCAAAAATTTGACAAATAAATGAATTTGAATTTGAATTTGAATTTGGTGTAATGCCATGCTCTGGTACAGGCGCAGGTGGGCGCGCTGCAAGCGGCGGCGCACTACGAGGTGCGCGCGCGCGCCTTCAACGCGGTCGGCGCCGGGCCCCCCTCCGCGCCCTTCACCGCCACCATACTCGAGGGGGGTAAGATAACTTTCTCTATAAACCCCTCAATTGACTCTTTTTTTTTAATTTTTATGGCCACTTTCCAGTTCCCATCGACATACCCTGGATATCATCTCAGGCTAAAGTTCTAATCGAGATGAATCAAACTCGTGCAAACTCGATGGGGTCAAATTAGATAGGCTTCAAGGCTACTTTCCGGCTCTATCGCCAGATCAGCTCCCCTCTGTATCTGTATTGTAATTTCGTCCAAATTTCAGCACAATCGAAAATCAAGAAGTGGGTCTTAAGCTCGCAACATTTGATCCATACTAATTAAAAGATTTCGCAAGTTCAAAAAGTGTCAACAAGCCCGTATATATTTTTTTTCCTTCTCATGAAAAAAGTAGAGTACAGCGTCGTTCTACTACGAGCGAACGATGCAATTTTCCTCGATCGTACGATTAGATTACTTATCCAAATCTCTTTTGAGCGCAATAACAACGCGACGGATAAACGCATCTCGCGAGGAACAACGGATCGTTAGCCAATTAGGACGAATGTCGGTATCTGTACGCGTCGTGTTGTGGCGCAGCGCCGGCGGGCGCGCCGGAGCGCGTGCGCTGCGCCGCGGCGTCGGCGCAGGCGGCGCGCGTGTGGTGGCAGCCCCCGCCCCCGCCCGCCCCGCGCCTGCTGGGGTACGACCTGCTTTACGAGGTAACCACTGTAACTCGTGTCTTACACTAATTATTAATTATAGAAATATGAAACGGGCAAACCGAACAAATATGTGATGAAAATAAAATAGTATCTTTTTTAAAATATTTTTTTCTCCGTGTTCTCTCCGTGGCCCATAGGGTATTATGTATATTATTAATTCAGAGTCATTTTTTACATACTAAATTTACTTAATCTCGGTTATTTGAAAGTCATAATTATTACAACGGCAGGTGGTGAACGATTTGGAGGGTCAAGTGGAAACGCGTCGCGCGGGCGGCACGGAGACGGTGCTGCAGGCGCTGCAGAGCGGCACCAACTACTCCATCTCCGTGCGCGCGCGCACCGCCGCCGGCCCCGGGCCCGTCTCCGACCCCGTGTCCTGCGTCACGCTAGAGGATAGTAAGTAAATTAGGTATCTTTTCCACCGGCCTCTCAAATTGGCCTCTCTTTTATATTTATAGAAAGAAAATTAAAGTATACATATCGATCGAAGAAGTTAAGAGAATCAATCCTCGTGCGAATCTTCGCATTTAACATCTTTATGCGAGTGAGAAAGAGATTCCATTCTACTTCAAATCGAATCGAATTTTTTTCTAACATAGTTGTGTGAATAATGAAATAGATTTTGTCGACGATCAGTTCCAGGGCCCCCCGCAGACGTAAAGGCGTTGGCGCACTCTGATCAGTCGGTGATCGTGAGCTGGCTCCCACCGGAACGCAGGAACGGGAACATCGATCACTACACGGTCTACACGAGACCACAGAGGTAGGTAGCATTGGAGCACCGGAACATCGAGTGAATAGTAAATATTGAAATGCAATTAAACATTTCGATCGGGACGCGGGCAGGGGTGGTCAGCAGTCGCAGGTGATGGTGAGGGCGAGCGGGGCTCGGCAGGGGGCGGCGGAGGGGCAGAGGGAGCTGCAGACGGAGGTGACCGGTTTGAGGGAGCACGCGGTGTACGAGTTCTGGGTGACCGCCACCTCCGCCGCCGGGGAGGGGGACACGAGCGCCGTCCTCACCACCGCGCCCCACGCCAGAGGTCAGTTCTGCTACACTATACTTTCTATTACATGGCGAACGTAACATTTTAATTTTGATTAAACTTTATGTGTCCTTAAATTTGAAATTATACTAATAAAATTCTGCATCATAATATACATTAAAAAATTTTCTTCGTCTTCTATCATATCAAATATTAAAAAAGAGAAACGTTAACATTCGGCGGTAGTTCGAAACCCTTCTCGTCCTGACTGATTGAAGTACACTCGCACAGCTCCGGCGGCGATCTGGTCGTTCGGCGGCGTGGTGCGCGCCGTGTGCGGGCGCGCGCTGCGGCTGCGCTGCGGCGCCGCGGGCGGCCACGTCACGCGCGTGTGGGCGCGCCGCCGCCCCGCGCCCCCGCTGCAGGCCGACCCGCGCTACCTGCTCGACGGGGAATACCTCGTCATACTCAGTCAGTGTCCGCCCCGACCGTTCACTAAAAGAAACCGTTCGCCGGGGACCGAGATGGTGCTATTTAAATACACGGAAATCATAAATGTTCCGTTTTTCTTTTTCATCTTTGCAGACTTATTAAATCAGAATATACATAAAATATATCGCAGGCTCCACCGAACAAAGAACCCCGGGAAACATCACAGTATATTTATTACTCACCGATATTTGATCGGTTTTAATAATTCGAGGCTTCACACGACGATAAAAAATTGCGATCTCTACATCGTAGGGCTTTCTTCTAAACGTATTCACGCCGCGAGGCTCTAACTCGCGATACGGAGACACGAGACGTGAGCGTGACGTATCATATGTGTGTGACAGATGTGGACCGCAGCGTGGCGGACAACTACACGTGCGCGGCGCGCAACGCGCTGGGCGCGGGCCGCGCGGCGTGGGAGGTGCGCGCCGCCTGCGCCCCCCCGCCCCCGCGCCTGCGCCTGGCGCACGCCGCGCCCGCCGCGCTCGCGCTCGTCTGGGACTCCACCGTCGGACCTATCAAAGGTACGAGTCGCCGCTCTTCTGAGTCTCGTAGACGTTCCTTCGATAGTTCAGACGCGAAGGATGATAATGAACAAGAACGTCTCCCGAATCGGCGACCGGTAAAGTGGACCCGAATAAAAAGATGACGAGGTTGCGGGCCTTCCTAGACGCCGTTTCCCTTTAGACCTGCAGTAACACAAATACGTCGGGGGCGTGTAAAAAATCTAAATACACTTATCATCGTATGTTGTCATTCGAATGCTCTTTTATTTTGTATCTTTGTACCGAAAAGAAATTCAAAAAAGCTGATCAATTATGACGATTTGTAGATTTACATAAGAACACTCTTCCGGGGAGTATCGAGATTGATCACCGGAAATCATATCGGTGACATATCTGAGAAATTTTGCTTCTGAAAATTAAAACGAGGGACCGCCGGTTCCCCAGGCTACACCCTGGAGCACGGGCGCGCGGAGGGCGGCGCGGAGGGCGGCGCGTGGGCGCGCACGCGGCTGGCGGCGGACGCGCGCGGGCACACGCTGCGGCGGCTGGCGTGCGGCGCCGTCTACAGGGTGAGACTGAGTGCGTACAACGCCGCGGGCGCTTCGCCGCCCAGCGAGGAGCTGCTCGTGTCTACTAAAGGAGGACGTGAGTGACGCTGACATTGAACTCGCCCTAGTAGGGACGTAAATGATTAGTTTTACTCAATAATAAGTAGAGTGAACACGTTTCATACTTAACATGACAGCACGATTCATATTTAAATACAAATATAAGCTGAAATATTAGTGGAATACGTTATGAAAGAAATTGGGGTTAGTTATTGAGTAATTAATTATAGTTTTCACTATATTTATTCTATAAGAACTGTTTAGATTTTGTGGAAAAGTACTAAGTTTTGTCAACTGCATTTCCAAAAATTATATACAATTTATGTTTGTAGTACAATAAAGATTAGAGAACTCAGGAAATTATGTCAATATGTTACAACCTTATTTTTTTATACTGCCTCACTGATATATTAGAATATTGTATTAATTGATTAATATTTTTAGCCTCTAGAGCGGCACCAGAGAAGACGTTGATAATGACGAACAGCAGCTGCGTTAATTTAAATCTTCTCACGTGGGACAGCAACGGCTGTCCTCTATTCCCGTTCGTTGTATCTGTGAGAGGATTCGAAGAGACTTCGTGGCGATCCAAGACTGTGGGTCCCGCCATCCAACCGACGTCCATATGCGACCTGCAGCCCGCCACTTGGTATCATTTGAAGATCGTCGCCACTACCGCTGCGGGGACTACACTAGGGAACTACTATTTCGCCACATTGACGGAGGAGGGCGGTAAGGTGCTTCGAATCGTTGTTTCTTTAAGTTAATGACAAAAAAGCATGGACTTAGTACTAAAACAGGACAGAATACTTCCAGCTAAAAAGCGAGCCGAGCTAGATGCCAAGTAGAGAGGCTTTATGTCCCTTTTTAATAAGGTGACAATAAAATTTGTTTTTATTTATTATGGAACAAACAGTTTATACCACTTATGAGCACAAAGTATTAACAAAAAGTAAATTTACAGTTCCCTTTATTACCTTATTTATAATACATCTCAACTGTTGCAGGTACCTCTCTATAAAATAGATTTAATGACTACGTATTACACATTCTATATAACAATGATCAATATCAAATTAATAGTAGTGTTTTACCTATGTTTAGAGTTTTACCTACGTATATTAACAATTACACTTATACATCCAATTGATGCAAATGTACAGCGACTTAGCGTTTACATTAAACTTTCAAAACTATTAACGTCGTTGTGTAGCGTGCAAGTTATTCGATATAGTTATTGCATCCGTAACAAGTTTTGCTTTGTTTCACACCGAATAATTATTTTTAGAGTTGTCCTTTCCTTAGGAACTCGAAAATCATTTTTTTTTTTCTAAATGTACTGGGCAACGTCTAAGTCAATTAAAATTTTGAACGAATAGTTTATAAATATAACATCTCTTCGGTGTCTTTAGGATGTTATAATTATGAAAACTAGAGACGTCTTATAATTTAAGTGTGGATTACTAGTTCTGTAATCCAACGATTTAGTTAACTTGCGCTGTACCTTTTCGAATTTGTCTTGGTGTATATGATGCTGAGGATTCCAAACGGGAGTTGCACGCCAAGATCACTTATTTCTCTAACACGATTAAAAATCTTTCCGAATTATTTATACGGACTATTAATACATTTTTTCCTAATAAAATTAATCGTTTGACACTTATTCGGATTTAAAAACAAACTCTTTTTTCGACGTTATTTTGTAGTAACATGGAATCTTGATCATAACTCTTAAAAATTTTGATATCCATCATATGTATGATTAATGACGTACATTAGCGTCCTATAAATATGTTTGGCTACTTTTATATGCACTAAAACTATACTAATAATAATTTATTTTGATAGAAACATACATTACATAGATATTGCTCTAAGGTACACATGTTTAACTTGTAACGTATAAAAATATTAAAATTAATATATTCTAATATCTGCTATTGTAATTATAGAATATACGTATATTAAAGAATGTCATAATTAAGTAGTATTAATATAATATTGTGTAGCATTGTATACTAAAGAATTTGAAATCATACTAAGTATTTATTCATAAATTCCGTAATAGAATAAAAGCAAACTATCACCAGAGTCATAGGTTAAATTACTTTTTAAAATAATTTAATGGACCTAACAGCGAACAAGGCCTACATGTTGCTATATGTTCTATTACTTCATAGCAATGATGGACTATCATTATGCAGTTGCTAAATTGAGGGGAATCCCTTAAAGTGACAATTTTAAAGCTATAGGGGAAAATGGGTGCTGATTTTCTGATCCTGAGCCCCAAAAAATAAATTATATTACTTGGAAGAAAAGTCGTCACCGAACATTTTTTTATTGCTCTTTATTTAACAGAACTAATATTCATATTAATCAACTACTATTACAACCTTATACAATATGACATAGGTCACAAAATTAATGTTTCCTATCAGGGGCAGTCTCATTATAAAGTACGGCTAGGTATACCCCTTCTTTCTTGACCCATCACGATGATTAAATTGCAGATTTGTAATTACAGTAATTTATAATGCAGATTTGTGATATACTTAACATTACAGTTTTGGAGTAATTGATTATAATATTATTAAATATATTGAATAAATACTCGTAATACTTTTTATTTGAGACTTTTCACATGGTTCAGTTTTATAATAACTGCAGCTATAAGTGCGGCTATATTAAGTTTAACAAAATTATTGTGTACGATATCATAAAAATCTTTTTAAACTGTTTGTTACAATAAATATATTTTTCTATTAATTATTTTAGATACTCATAGGTTTTTGTGCAATTCGATATCGATGAACGATATTTCACGAATCGCGTGCCCTTTTAATATGTATGAAGAGTTTGTTTACACATGAGATTGCACAATCTACTAATTTCGGTCACAATTCTTCTCCACATCGAATTGCATGTAGTCATGGTCTACACGTGGTTGTAACTATTATCTCGAGCTACTCCGTGCTTCGGAAGGCACCTTAAGCCGTTGGTTCCCGCTGCGACTGCAGTCGTTAATACCCTCCAATCCGCATTGGACGTGGAGGGTCATGGTTCATTGTCTTTGGCCATCCATAAGGAAGGCCTGAGCCCCTGCAGTGGGGACATAACAGGGATATCAGTAGAAATTAAGTAAACAGACAGCTTTGATGATAATTAATACTATCTTTTTTAAATAATTTAATTTTAAAGAAATAAATGTGATTATATAATGACTTAAAGTTTAAAATAGTTACCATTATAATACCAGTATTTCCGCTATTTAAGTTGAGCAAGACGAAAGAACGAGATACACGGCCTCCGTTGTGACTATCTCTATCGGCTTGGATTAGCTTCAGTTGAAGAAACAATGTAAAGTACACTTTTAATTGATAGTATTAAATATTAAAGTTCATTTTCGTATTGACAATTTTTCAGAGTTGTAAGTCCTGTTATAATTACTAATATACTAATTTACTACGTCCATGCAAAAACCAAATAAAGATTTATATCTCGAGATTTCATAGTTATGCATTAGATTTATGAATCTTCTTCCAGTCGGTTTATTTGTCTCTTTCTAAATTCGTGCATTTTCAAAATCAGATGAAGTAAAAGGATTGCATGTCATTATAACGATGTCAATAACGAAACATGCAAAGGCATATAAAGTAATGTAAAATGAAACAACACTGAAGATACTATGAATCTGAAGTTTACACAATGAATACCGGGACCGCTACTCACTCCTATATGGAATTCCATCGTGATCCTGTGTCTAGCATTGTTTAGATGTCTAATAAGTATCGATTAAGATACGAGCGATCAAAATCCCACGATTTAGAAAGAATCGAAAGCATAAATTCGATTAAAAGAATTAGATTAAAGTGGTATGAATCGGTTGTGCACAGAACAAATCCCGGCCCCCGCGCAGTTCCCGGGGCGGGGGTCGGCGGAGGGCGCAGCGTGGGGCGCGGGGCCGCTGCTGGCGGGCGCGGGCGCTGCGCTGCTCGCCGCGCTGCTGCTGCTGGCCGCGCTGGCCTACAGGCGCCGGTATATATACATCACATCGTTATAAGATCACACAGCACAAGTTGATTTCTGAACTTTAGAGAGCTGTAATAATGTATTAAGTCACTGATTGCAAACTACTTTTAAACGAATGTAACTCGTTCATATTACCTTCATCAATTAACCTGTAAAAGATCGTCTAAAATGAAATCAAATATAAACGACTTCCAGCTGTTTAAAGTTTTATATAATGAATAGATTGCGTGAAAATATAAGAAAGTAGTCAATTAAATGTGGATTTCAGCACTTCGACCGCTTGCTTTCGGAAAGGTTACGAACAAGGTGATATGTCGGAGGAGGAGGAAAAATCTGTGGAAAAGCGTGATAATAGAAGGAACTGTCAGCAAGTGTATACGTCCTCACCGATAAAACATCCGATGAACAAAAAGGAACATCAAGGTTAGTTAATGCCAATGGTTTTACTAAATATTCGAAAACTTCATTATGTACCTGGGAGCTCAGTCGGAAGAGTAGTCTCCCTTAGTATAAAGTCAGAGACTTAGTAGAAATTACTTAGAATAAAGTCAATTCAAGACATCAGCACCCACCGATCGCTCGCTAGGTGGATAATCTTTACGTTTCTTCTAAGAAGAACGCCTGTATCCCAGCAGGGGAGACATTAATAGAGTGTCCTTTCTCCCTCATGCTGTTGCACTTACATCGACCGATAATAAAGCGTACATTCCAGAGATGTACGAGATCAGCCCGTACGCCACGTTCAGCATGTCCGGCGGTGGGGGCGGGGGGGGCCCGGGGGTGGGGGGCGGCACGCTGCGCACGTTCGGGCGCGCGGAGCCGGAGCTGGCCGCCGCGCCGCCGCACAAGCACCGCTCGCCCACCAACACAGGTAGCCACACCTTTGACTCCGGACCTTACTTTAGTAACACCATACTGTCGACCGCTGTCCCTTAGCCGCTGCCGTAGGAAGCGATGAGGTTATGTGGGGCGGTCATTAGGACACCCTTCTCCCGGTAGATATTCGATTCGATTATAAGTTACGACCGACGGCTAACTTTAAAGACGATATTACTTTTTTATATAAAACAGTAGTCGTTGTAATCATATGCTTTCTCAATATGAGATCTTATACTCTCGCGGAGTAAAAATAACTCTATGTGACGAAGGATATATAATACTCTCCGTAAGCAACATGATGGGTCAGCTCCTCCGTGATATCTTGCATACCTACTTATTAATACCTGGGCATCCAGTGTTTCTTGCAGAACATTTAACACCAGCTAACAAGCCACTATACGCAGCGGCTCGTATGAAAGGACGAAAATAGTTAAGCTATACTAATAAAAATTTATGATAGTCTAGATAGTAACAGAATCGTGCGCGCGCTCTCTGAACGATGGAATTCGCAACAACGAGTGATACATGCGATGTTTGCAAACGGCGAGGGCGATCTCCCAGCTGCTATGTATATATTTTAATAGTGTTGAATTGAAGTAAATTAGATTATTTATAGAAAAGTTGGTATTTGTGCTGTATATCTTTCATTACCCGTTAAAGCAGAACAAGTGAAAACAACAATTCTGTGAAAGTACATTTAACGTGGTAGTGGTGCATTTACCATAGTTTTCTGGAGTGGTTACAACAAAATGACTATAATTACGATGTACACCTACTAATAACAATGCTGTAGGCAATACACTTGTCGATTTTATGAATGCAAATATTGTGATGATTTAATTTTATGCTGTTTTAAACTTGCACAGAAATGTTACATGGAGTACAAATCTCATCTCGAAAGCGATATTCATGTAAATTCAAAAGCATTTTGTAGAAATAATAAAAACAAGTGCTACAGACATATATCGAAAATAATATCGAAAATATGTTTTGAAATAGCAAAATAAAAAATAAATTCTAAAAAATCGATTATTGTTGGTCAATGAACAAATTAATAAAAACCGTTTATACTAAAAAAATAATCGAAAAATATAAGAGTCAATCGACATCCTTATTTGTTTATATAATTCGCACCTTCGTAAGCCAAGTTTTATCTAGTAAGTTCACAGCCGCTGACCAGCGAAACATGCGTATTCCCGTTATATGCAACTTATCGGTTTGCCCAGCTTTCAGATCCTTTCAAGACAGCTGGTCTGATTGCTATCTTGTACATTTGCCTTTAATTTTAAGGGGCCGTTAAGCATATCTGGATGTATTTTTGCATTATTTGCTATGGTTAATTTTACTATAATTTAATCACACTTATTTCGTTCATATCGAGTCTTTATGTTCCCAGACGAGTACACGTTATCTCGCGCCATGACGCTGATGGTGCGTCGGTCCGAGTCAGACTCTGACTCGAGCGAGTCGCCGTGTGCCGAGTGCAACTCCAGTGTGTCCTATAGAGTGCCTGTTGCGCCTTCTAAAGGTAAGTATTATGATCAAACAAAAAAGGTAATTATTTCATACCTCAGTCATAAAGACCCAAAAAATGTTACAATATTTGACAAATTTCATGCAACGTATCATTTTGTTTACAATATTCAATAACGCAGCTTTCCGACGCTACAGTGTAGCATAGTGGTACTACAATGTGGCATAGTGGTGCTACAGTGTAGCATAGTGATGTGATTACATCGTAGCATATGACTACTAACTTATATGGTTAGTGCAATTTCAAATCTTTTTTTTTTATTAAAACCGACAGCTAGCGACAGTTGCCAAACAGAACACATCTCATTCGGAATTGTTATCATGATAGTAAGAATGACTCAAAAGTAACAATAAATAGAAGCAGAGCCTCCGAAGTAAAATCGTCTTCCATTTACTCCAATATTCTCCATCGAGTGCGTTTTCCGTTCATTTTTTTTCCAGTTATGTACTCATAAATCAACAAATAAAAACTGAATACGAGATATATGTCGTGTATGTGCAGAGGAGATGTTTCGCTCCGTGACGGACTCTAGTGCGGAGTCTGGGTCGGCGTCGGCGGCGGCGTCGGCGGCGGCGGGGTCGGCGGGATCGGCGGTATCGGCGCCTTCGGCGCGCGCGCGGGGCGGCTGCGGCGCACACGACAAGCCGCGCCGCCGCCCGCGCCGCCACCACGCGCCGCCCGCCTCCAGGTACCTAATGCCTCGTCGTTACAATACCATCTCCACGTTTCACTGGCTAGTATACACATAATTAAGTAGATTTTAATTTAAAATTCGATTGAGTTCATAAGTGGTTAGATAAACTTTTGCTTAGTACTTATTTGTATGTTTACACTTATTTAGTCATTAAAAATAGAGTTAAAAATGAACTTCCTACTTATATACTTAATAACGTGTAAACCAGCCATAATTTTCCGTTTTTTCTAATAGTAGAATGGAGCATTGTGATATTTTTTTTGCAGAAACAGAGATGAATATAGCGATTTTGAAAGTTCTATCAGGTGCTCCAGCACCTAAACTTCACACTGGGTGCTGAGCGATGTGTAATTGTATATACCCTCTAACTCTAACTTCCATATACTATGTACTGTCAGAAAATTCTTCCATATTTTGTAACGAGCTCTCAATCAATATCTGGTTAAAATAAAATAAAAACTTTTTGAATGACTACTATAGACATCTGTCAAAAGCGACAAGTTTCATGTCAATTCGTAAAACAAAGTTACGGACTCGAGGCCTGAAAATGCTTTTTAGAATCTCGCCTTGATTTAAGGCGCTACTGGCCTCATATCATAGATGGCGCTTTTAGTAGCAAAAGCGGCCCAAATCTGAGGATACTATTATGTTTTGTGAATAATGAATATTATAATTAACAGATATCAGCAGCGGCAAGAACAAGAAAGGAGAGACTTCACGATACACGTGTAATATTATGACAATAAAGACTGCTATTAAGAAAAATCAAAACTATGAAGATGTTAACTAGATTAAAGTTTATTGTTTAAATGATACCATTGTAAATATTATTATCAGTTTTTTGTACTTTCGGAATGTCGTTTCGGCCTATTTTGTATAAAGTGAAAACAAAAACAAATCAACAAAAACGTATCTTATGTAGTGACCTTAACAAATAATGGATAGTAAAATAATTATACCTATAGCGATTATATTGACCGTTTATATATTTCCAAGATGGTTCCGTAAAATTTCATAGCAAAATGCCTGTTTCCGGCAAAGTCAAGACAAAATAAACTCAAAACTAACCTATGTAAGCATTTTTATAGGTTTTCTTGTGCAGTGGATGGAGTAACATGAGGTATTTTCAAGTGTAATATTCATTATGTACTATTCTCAAAGTCAATAAAAGATTCCAGATGTTGTTATTATTTTTGAAATACTCTCCCTGACACCCAGTTAGGCAAATAACGACTTCAAGCTCTAATGAATATTCTAAATTTGAAATTTTTTATCGGTAATGTTGCTTCAAACTTGTGACAATTTTAATAGCCGTTTGTGCTATTGTGTGTTGATTGCACAATGATATACATTACAATTAAAAGTAACTTTATCAAATTAAAATTTAGAGTTTTAAACTTTAGTGGACTTTTGTGCAACCAGGAGCAAGTTGCACAGAGTAATGAAATTTTGAGTATGTTTTTATGTAATGGTGGAAGTAAAATTCCAAAAACAAAGAAATAATTTAAAAATTATCAATTATTTTAGATCATGCTGTACTTATGTACACGTTTTTAAATTGTAGACAGATTGAGTTATAAGTATTTGTCCTCTCGTTTAATATGATCGCGATAGCAGCGCTAATCTTAAAATTCTACTTTAGAGATTTTTCATGTTATAATTCCAGAAAGTTTTATTGTAGAATTCCGTTAATGAATCAGTATCATCATCTATTTCTAAAAGATACTTGAATTCAATTTTACATGTGAAGAATATCTCAGTATTTCCATTGATATTAAGATAATCTATATTTCAAGCCTTTTTATGAATCAATAAAATTTATGGTTTGTCCTTTTTATAATCAATCATTCTAATGATAGAATTGTACTACAAAACTAACCATATTTTTGTAGTACAATTTTGAATGGAAATTATAAAAAAAAAATCCAAATTATTTAAAAATATCATCAATACTATTGTTCATTTATTTTATAATTGTATTGTCACAGGCTATTGATAATGTAGCAGTTTTTAAAGTCAACTGTCGATAGTGTAAGTAACTATTAATATAACAACATCATTGATGCATAATCTAAAACTATGACAATATGTATGAATTGGCTACTCGAATGTTTTAGAAATAGAAATAAAATATTCTAAAATTTTTAGATGATCATATTGAACCACTATCATATATATTTCTACTGAAAGTGTTAGTAAAAAAAAGAAAAAATATTTATTATTTCATTAACTTTGTATAAATTCACGTCACGTCATCAGTCACGTGACGTAACGTCACATTTCAATAATCATTAATACTGGTTGCACTTACAACTAAGACGTTGAAGTTTAGTTCATTGAAATATGACGTCAAACGACGCACCATCATGGCCGCCCTCGTTTCGTTTATTATCTGCAGGTTATAATTTGTTTTTTTTTTGCAAAAATGAAATGTTCTTACGATTTGTATTCAAACAAAATATACTACACAGTTATTTTTTACACGTAAGTTACCATTTCTAAACCTATTTCATAATTTATTGTTATAATTTTCAAGTTGCCTACTAAATTATATATCCACAAGTGAAATTGAATCAAAGTGACAAAGAAAGGTTTGTTAGAAACCATACAGTTACGTTAGATACAAGAGGTACATATATGCCGTTTTTTTCTGGTGAAATATAGTCAATTATGGATAATTGTTTTTGAAACTTATGTGTCAAATTCATCATTTACCTAGTGTATAAATTTCTTTGAATGTTATGTTTAATTCAAATTAGTGTACGATTTTTAAAGCACTGCCTAAGATTTTGTAAATACTATTAGGTAAATTAATAAAATATGAATTAAATGAGTGAGTATGCTGGTGTACTTATTTGAAATGAGTGTTTTCCCCCAATACGATAATAATGTCGGTAAAACTGGCTTTTACTAAAAATCGGTCACAAAAAATAAAAACACAAAAAAAAACAAATGTCTCACTTCCCAGATACATAATATAAACATAATCTAACATAATCTAACTACTTATGCAAATATCCGTTAAATGTTTTGAAAAATAAATTGTTTTTTTTTTGTATTTTGAATAATCTATTCTAGAGGCTATACTAAAGATAGTTACTTTTATAGCTCGATTACATATCCAATGACTTTAATGAGAAGTTACTTAAATATGAATTCTACTAAATATAATATATTCAGTATTATTTATCGTCCCAAAACTATTATAAAAGTTGATACATCACATTTCAGGCTGTTATAATAAAGACCCTCGTAGTAAAATTTTTGTCATTAATGGTTTTATAAGTAAATGAAATTATAAATCCGAAACCATTTATGAGTTCATTTACCTAACCATTGAGGACAAACATTTTTTCGACACTAGCAGATCAATTATCATCACGATAAATTAAAATTTTGGGGCCTCAATTCAAGCTGCGTATGATTAAGTGTTTTCGATAATCTTTATAGTTTTTCCCATTGAGTTCGCTGGCGCAGTGTTCAGAAAGTTCGGTCTGCAATTTCAGAGGTGAAGTGACTGCAGTGACGCCGATCATGGTTGAGTAAACTGCCCCTCGTTGCTGCTCAGACGGCACTAGAAGTTTATCTATTTAGATATTAAAAGCGCCCTGGGGAAAAGCTGAGTAGATGGGATATTTTGATGATAATATATATACTTTTCAATATCTTTGTTTCATAACGTAATATTCGATGTATAAAATTAGTTCAATATTATATTATACATTTACCATGCATTACAGATCGCCTTATCAGATTAAGTTCGCCTACACAAGTATATCTCCTGGGGCTAGTTCATACTCATCACAATGTAATTATAAAATTATTAACATATAAATATTAAATGTTAAAGTATTTTATGATAATAATATTAATTAACTGGTAAAATATATCGATAAAATCTAGGCTGTTTGACACTACATTTCAAGAAGCTAGAAATTATTTTGACTTTACAATGGCAGGTTGAGAAAATTATAAATAAATTCCTTAGTGAATAATTAATGTTTCCTAATATTCAAACGTATTGCAGTACTGTGCTTTATTCGCATCGGTAGGTTGTGTGTTTGACAGGGCATTCCGTTTGCGGTCAACCAATTAGTCAGACTAATAAACGTCGACTTGCTTTGTGAATAAATTTAGCATAACGCTAATGCAAACGGCTCCTCCTCCTCCATAACAGGTAATATAATATATATCGTCTTCTATATGTATAGCTATAATATATGACGAAACCATTAAATAATTTAAACGAAACAGTAATTAAAAAACATTTTATTTACAAAGGTGATGAAAAGGGCTTTAACACGATTTTCTAAAATTTTCTCGATATTGTCAAAAGCCTGGCGAGCATGTATGGAATAAGTACCTAGTGAAAGAGTAATAAACATTTATAGTAATAAACTATTTATTAAATGATAACATTCTTAAGCTTCATTCGAATTTGAAATAAACAAGATGATGTAAACATTTGCTACGAATAAAAAATAAATCTATGCTAATATTATAGAATATTTGTTTATTTGTTTGTCTGCATGGAAAAGGCTCCGAAACTACTGGACTGATTTTAAAAAATCTTTCACCTACGGGAATATACATCATATGCGATGAACATATGCTGTATTTTATCCCAAAAAACAGCAAATAAAGCGATGGAATTGAAAGTCGAAAATCACTGTTTACTATTCAATTGTAATTATATCTGTGTTATTCTATGAATCGATACCCAAATAAACAGTTCCCTAAGGATCATGCGGACGAACCGCTGAATTATCCTAGTTACAAAGATATTAATAAGTAGTGGGTAGTTTAAATATTATTCAATAAATTTGCATAAAGTAATAAAGAATTCTTAAAATCTTAGGCTAGACATATATAAATAGTAATCTATACATATATAAAAGGAGATGACCTGACATAATGACTGATCTTCATCCCAATCTTATCAATTATCTCAATATATTTTTTTTATTTCAAGCTACTCCATGATTCAGAAGAGACGTTGTTCCGGCTGCATTTGCAATCGTTAATGCGTGCATCGAGGGCCATAGTCCATCCTCTTTAACCAAACGATAAGGAAGGTCTGAGCCCCCGCAATGGAGACGAAAAAGGGCTGATGATGGTGATACTAGATGGCGTTTATTCTTAAGTTTATGATTAAGTTTTGTGTGGACATTAGATTTGTGTTATTCTTTCTATTTGTATTTCAAATCAGTTAAATAGCTTTAAAGTTCAGAGATAAAGGACTGCAACATTTATCATTAGTAGGTTAATTACATGTGTAGCTGATGCTGTACCTTAAATAAATAAATACATATAGCTTTTTGTTGTAGTGTCTACGAAGATGAACATCAAAGTAATTTTATTCGAATATCGCGGATATTTTGCTTTTAATAATAAGCGAGTTTCATATAATGATCTTTGAAAGTTAACCAGTTCCCTGGGTACAGTCGCACTGTAGAAGAATGTTGTGATGGTTACTCAGCTTATCGATGTTAAGCCGTGCAAATGAATGGCGCCATTCCAATATAGGGCTAGCCGTCTAATTGGACAGATCTTTTACCCAGTTTCTGTACG